GATGTACCGCCGCGATTTCCGCGGGGAATACATCCTCCTCACGGTCTACGTCGACGACTTGCTCTACACGGGCTCAAACAACGAGGTGCTCGAACAGTTCGAGAAGGCTTTGGCGGGGCGCGTCGACATCACATGCAACTACGAGGTGAAGCAGTTCCTAGGCCTCAACATCTCCTACGCGCATGAAGCCATTCATCTGTCAGCAGCTAAGTACGCAGAGGAGTTAGGGAAGCGGTTCAAGATTTCACCCGCACCTCTCTCAACTCCCTACCGAACCCCCGGACCGAACCACAAACCTGACAACAAAGCCCTATCCCCTGGTGGAATTCAGACTTACCAGCAGCAGCTGGGATGCCTCCTCTTCGCCTCTGTCACCTGCAGGCCATACCTCTCCTACATCGCAAGTCAGCTTGCCCAGTACTCACGGAAACCAACGGCTGAAAATCACCTAGACCTGCAGCGCGCCTTGCAATTTTTCGTTTCAACGCCCAAGATTGGGCTGTGCTACTCAACTGCACCAACCCCATCCTTCAATCTCGTCGGCTATGTGGATGCCGATCATGCAGCAGACCCCGACAATCGACGGTCCAGGACCGGCTTCCTGTTCCGACTCGAACCAACGGGGCCAATCTCCTGGAACTCACAGAAGCAGGAGCTGGTTGCCCTGTCGTCAGCCGAAGCAGAATTCGTCGCAGCAACCGCAGCAGTTCGCGAAGGCCTTTACCTACAGGAACTCCTGCAGGAGGCGAAAATTCCAGCTTCGCCAACCTTTCGACTTCACTGCGACAACCAGAGCGCGATTCGCATCGCGAACAAACCTGGTTTCGTCAATCGCACCAAGCACATTGCGCTGCGATATTTCTTCGTGAAGGACGAAGTAGACAAGGGCAAAGTCAAGTTGACCTATTGCCCGACCAGTGACATGGCAGCGGACTTCCTCACGAAGTGACTGCCACGCCAGCAGTATCAGCACTGCTCCGAACTCAGCGGCGTGGTCAAGCAGGTCAAATCAAGCTACGGCCAGGAGTGAAGGGGGGTGTTACGAATCGTAACATTTAATTGTTACTAAGCACTCCTCACCGCAGCAAAGAGAAGCACGCAGTATTGAAGCAAGAAAGCGAACCGTCAGACAGTTGGAGTTTGACTCGAAGTGTCAGACAGTTGGGGCGCATCTGGACCGTCGGAAGCAGACGGCATCGGACAGCTGCAGGCAGGATGGTTTTGGCGGGAACAGTTACGAAGCTGTACGCGCCGCACGGTTGAGAATGCGTTTGAATAAGGGAATGTACCCCTTAGAGTACATGGCTAGCTATGTCGATTCGTCTTCCCTGTACTCATATTTATACTTGCTGTATTTGCATGTTTTAATCATCTCAAGCATTTTACATTCACTCTGCTATCGAGGTCACGGGCCCACCAACTACAATTCCCTGTGTGCGAACCTTCCCGAGCAGATCCTGGTAAGCGATCATTCTCTGATCGTAGCAATATGTAAGTTATGGTTCTGTATGAATAGAAACTAGAATGCTTGTAATGCATTATGAAATTGTAGTGGTATGCATCCTCTATATGATGTAAATGCACTAATGCCATACTTTGTCATTCTTTAGAGAGGAAAGAGGAAAATAAGTTGATTAGGAGCCAAATTATGCAAATTGCTTAGATAACCAGCTCTGAACTCATTCCGAATGAGTGGTGTATGGCTATCGCAGACTCTCAAACGACAGTCAAAGTTCACAAATGCAGAAGGTTCCTTGGAAGTTTTGAAAGGGGGCAGTGCTGATAGGATCATCAGCACGAGATGATGCATACACGTGACTCCATGGAAACAACCCATTCGAATCCTCGATTCGATCGCTTTTATAACATATTTATAAAGCTCTGTACCCCTACCACCCCTGAACAGATGATATTATAGCCCAGTAATCAATGAACAGAAGTAGGGGAGCGTGTGTTGACAGAAACAAATAATCGTGCTGCTTGAACTCCAGTGTGTTTGGCACCAATGTTTCGTCAAGTGAAGTTTTGGCTGTAGACACAGCAATGCGATCGAACACGAACGAACTCGTGAAAATATTGGTCAGTACTGTATCTACCCTCACATCATATTAGGCAAGACACCCACTGATTTGCTGACGAAACGTGTACATATTGAATGACAGCCCTCGTGGCATGGCAATCCAGAAGCTAGCCAGCCACCATAACCCCGTCCCGGACTACAGTACAGTATTCGGCAATCCACTCTATACGCCACTGGCCCACTGCCTCCCCCACCATGACACCTCACAGCTGTTAAGTGTTTTGCTTAGACAGTCCGAAGAAACACTGAACTTTACACCCTTGCACACGGTTCGATAAGTTGTCTGCTCCGCCCAATCACTGGCGAGGGAAGAGTGGATAACCTCCGTCATCAACACCCAAGAAGTTCCATCCCGAGTTTTCAAGACGTAGCTCCTTTTTCAGTGAACCACCATCCTTACGGACAACGCTTCCCACAGCGTTTTCAGAGACCAACCTCAGGCCAGTCAGGGACTGAGAGGTCATGCTGGCACAGATCGCTGCACCTCAGTTGCTAAAATCACCTTCCACAAGTGCGTCATGCAACGTACGGTCGGAATAGCTCCTCCAGCTCTTATCCCAGCCTTCCACGTCGATGCCCTCAATAAAAGCCTTCCACCTGCGCAAACGCACGCGCATGTGCGCTTCACCGTGAGCCTGGCGATTATTTTATTCGCTAGGTGGCTAGGTGCGTCGCCTCCTCGATTTTGTGGCGACAGCATCATGGCATACGACAGCCAAAAAAAGGCGTTGGCAGTGGCCGCAAATGTCGCAACACGCCATGCGCTGATCATTGCCTCAATTATACTAGGCTGGATGGTTGCGTCTAACTTGCTTCAGAAGCGCAATCGCGATCAGCATCGCGATCCCGCCGCGGAACCCAACATGGGCGTTGGAACAACTCCAAATAGTTCCATAGGAGCTCCAGCCTGGATAGAACGTGTACACTACTGTACACCCTCTTCTGCCTGCTGTGTAATCTGTAGACGGGATGCCGGAGGCTGCGCTAACGCGGACAGGAGACGTGCAATACGGAAAGATGCGGAAGGTGGTAGTGGCACGTTGCGCAGATTTCCCCCCATGAGCCATGCATGTGGGGGAAGGAATCGCGTCGGCTTTCCGTGAGCACCCTCCCCTCTTCCCCGCGGTCGCTCGTCTCGTCTCGTCATCGTCCCGAACGAAAACCCTCGACCCGCGCCATGGATCCCTCGGACTCATCGCAGCAAGCCTATCCCCCACACGCTTCCTCTCACCTGCTCGGGATTCCATCCATCGCAAGCAAACCTCCCCCTCTCGTTGGTCGCAGCAGGTGGGATGTGAGATGGCGCTAAAACCGCGACACCGCTCCCGTTGCACTCTCGAACGTGTCTAGTATTTAGCAGTTTTCATCCCCGCCGTACTTACCAACTTACTTCCACACGCTCCCTCCTCCCATACGCAGCAGCTATTACAGTAGCACGAGGACGCAACGGAACGAAATAGAGCACTCTCGCGACCGAGCATTTCTCGTAGGGTGCCTTCCGTCCCTCCAAAGAACGCCAATTCTCTTGTCGACCGCGAGTAGTGAGCCCTCTGTATTGACACTGATCCCCAACTCGCGCCGCTTCGGACGCGCTCCCGTTTCTGTTCTCGATCTCGACTCAGTTCGTGACACGTGGCGCATCGCTTGTCTTTTTTCCACTCGGATCGCGTTGATCGTAACGGTCTGGCCCCACAGCTTTTAGGGAACGCAGTTGACGGCTGCTGCTCTCCGAAAAAAACTTAAATTCTTCCCGCAGCCATGGCGACCCAGCTAGCGGAGTCGCGACATGGAGGCACGCAGCCTTCCGCCGTGGCGGATCATTCGCCTCCCATTCTGCGATTCGCGCCGTCCTCGCAGCCATGGACCATGGAGGTACGGCCGCGCTTCGGATTCCCGTGCTATGACTTACGATCTATGATGTTCTGATAATTCTCAAAATATGACGTACTACGATCTACGATCTTGTCACCTATTAGGTGCATTACCTATGCCTGGTCAACCTCACGTATCGGGGCCGTCTCCCTTCCGTAGCGGTTCGGCTCCTAGCTGCTTCGCGACTGTCCGCAACCCGCGTCATTTTCGCAATGTCAAGGCACAATGCAGCCTGGTTACCACTACGGCCCTTTTCTTCTGCCTCTGTCACTCACCGTCGATCGCCCTCTGTCGCTTACCCGCTGTCCCTTGCCCTCTATCGTGTGTCCCTGTTGCTGCATTCTCGCAGGAGGACGCGGTGCTGCTGCGGCACGCGCTGAGGCGCGGCGCGAGGTGCCCCTTCTCCGTCCCTTGCCCTCTCTCGCCTACTCACTAACGCCAATCCTCTATCGCGTGTCCCCCATTGCCCCCTCCCTTCCCCGCAGGAAGACGCGGTGCTGCTGCGGCACGCGCTGAAGCATGGCACGCGGCAGTGGGGACGGCTGGTGCGAGGGAAGCAACTCGCGCGCGGCAACAAGGCGTGCTGCAACCGCTTCCTCTTCCTCAAAAAGTGAGCGGCACACGCCATGCTCAGCATGCCATGCCATGTCATGTCATGTCATGTCATGTCATGCCATGTCATGTCATGTCATGTCTTGTCATGTCATGCCATGTCATGTCTTGTCATGTCATGTCATGCCATGTCATGTCATGTCATGTCTTGTCATGTCATGCCATGTCATGTCATGTCATGTCTTGTCATGTCATGCCATGTCATGTCATGTCATCATGTCGGAAAGAAGCTTTGCGTTTTTATTTCGCACGGTTTTCTTCGCAGCTGACAGCAGCTTTAACTAATCCATGCCTCTTCCTCTCCCTCATGCCGCGCGGTTTCCTCTGTGTCTTCAGGAAGTTTACCCAGAAGCACGCTGACGTCACGCTGCCAGCTCAGCAACAGCTCCAGCAAGGCCCAGGCGTTTCCCCGTCCGCCGGCCAACCGCAGCGGCACATGTGGAGCCGTCCTGACGTGGCGTTGCAATATGGCGGGCTGTCATTGGTCGAGTGCATGCAGCTGTTCCTCCCACCTGGTCTCCGAGACACCCTGACACCATCTGATGTTTCACCTGACCATGCACCTGACTTCAAACAAGCACCTGCAGCTACTGCTTCTGCCGAGGCTGAACCAGACCAGTCTGTGTTAGCCATGAAACGCCTGGGCAGGGAGCATGGATTAGGCGCAGGAGGAGGAGCAGAGCAGGGCACGCCACCAGTGACAGCTCACCAGCTGTCGCACATTCTATTTGCCGAATCACATCCCAAGGATGCACACCCCATGGATTCAAACGCCGCACACCCTGTGGGTCGAGGGTTGAAGAGGCTCCGCAACGACAACACGGGATTCAACACCAGCAGTGCTGCTCACACCGGCACGCGTGAAGGCCTGTCCGCCAGGCAGCTTCAGGGCATTGAGGTGGCTGATGCGTCGGCTTTGCGCTCTCTGCTTCTGCGGGCGGCTGACAGCCAGAGCCACCAGCGTCAGTGTGACAGCAGGTGAGGCTATAAGTGATAAGTCAGTGATGCAAACGGCCGCCAGTGGTAAGTCACTCATGCATCACTCGACCATGGTTCTTGCTGTGCTCCGCTCGCGATGTTTCTCAGGAATACACTCAGGTTTGCGATGTTTCAGGACAGAGTGAATCTTCGTTTGCGTGCTTTTTCACACACAAGCCAGGAGATTCCTCTCGCTCTCATGCGTTCTTCCCCCTTACCGCTCTTCCGCTCTGCTTTGCTCTATGCAGGACAACAATCCCGACATCCTGGCTTCTGGCCCTTCTTCTGCAGCAAAAACAACAGCAAAAGCAACAGCAACAGCAACAGCTACAGCCGCACCAGCACCAAGAGCAACAGAATGGAGAGCAACAGGAGCAGCACGTGAAGCAGCAGCCGTCACTGTTCCCACAGGATCCAGTCAGCTCCAAGTCAACTCAGTCAACTCAGTCTTTCCAGTCCCCGCGCGGTCCCGCACTCGCACATGCCGCCCACTGCAGCAGCAGCAGCAACACACCAACGTCTGCTCTCCCTGCCCTTGAATGGCCCCTCTCCTTCTCAACCTCCCTCTCACCCTCCATCACACCCTCCTTCGCACCCTCCCTCTCACCCTCCCTTGCACCGTCCGTTGCACCTTCCATCTCACCCACCCACGCGTCCACCTCTCGGACCTACCTAGCCCGCCCTCTCTCGGCCATGTCCCCATGGCTGTCCTCCTCTCGCAAGCCCTTCACCTTCGGAATGACTCAAAGCTCCCGCGTTCTGCATTCCGCCCGTCCCAACAGCCTCTCGCAGTCCCTCCGCACAACAGTCCCTGTCCCTGCTCCCACCGCTCCCCCTACTGTTAACCCCATTGCTCCGCACAATCCTCTCACATCCCCTCCCGCCTCCATACCCTCGCCTTCCTCTCACTGCCAGTCCGCTGCTCCCCTCTCACCCACATCTCTCATAACAGCTGCGACCTCGCCAGTGCCATCAGCCCCTTCCACCGTTACCAACCGTGGCCCACCGCACTCTCTCCCCTCCTTCCCCTCTCTCTCCGCGCTCCAGTCAGCCCTTCACACGCCGCCGATCAAGGCACCTCCCACACTCTCCGACCCATCTCACCAAAGCTTATCTCAGCACCACCTCCTTCAGCGCTACGCTTCCCGCAGTGCTTCACCTAGCAACGCTGCTTCCTCTGCGTCTGTCGACCACTCCCCGCCTTCCTCCGAGTCCTCCCAACCCTCCGCGCAACCCTCCTCCCAGCTCTCCTCCCTGCGTGTTGCGGCAGTAGATATGGGATCGCAGCAACTGCGCACGACAGCCACACCGTCAGCAGGAGAAGCTTCATTTGCTCCTCACCCCGCTGCAACAGCAACATCAGCAAGTGTGCTTCCCATGCTTCCCGCTCCTCTTGCTGAGAACAAGGCACCAGCAGCATCCCTTCCATCCGCGTTGCATTATGCAACGATGGACGCACCTCCCCTGTCTCAATTTGCCCTGACAGCAGAACACATGAGGCCGCACAAGATCCCTCGGACAAGCCGAGGCGTTCTGCCCCCTGCTGCTCTGGAATTCGCCCGCTCTTTTTTTTCCGGTATGCCCGGCAGTGATGATCCCCAGGGGGGCGAGAGCAGCGACGGGCAGCAAACCTCGGAGCCTACATGCGCAAGTGCGCGGCAGGACAGCCGTCGCACTGGAGCGAGCAAAGAGGGACAGTGTGGATGTGTGGGCGGAGGTGCATCAACAGAGCTGCCTCCTGTGCCTTGCCAAACTTCTCTTTCTGAGATGCTTACTGCCGCTTCTTCTGCCCCTGGTGTAACTGCTGCTCCGGCTGCAGCTGCTGTGGCTGCTGTGGCTGGTGGTACTCCTGATGTCGCTGATTCCCCTGCAGCAGCGGCGCTTGCAGCAGCAGCAGAAGGCATATGTCAGGGGGAGCTTTCCATTTGGAAAGATCTCATTGAGCTGGAGGGTGCGGCAGAAGAGGTGGTGTGCGGTGAGGAGAAGAGAGCGGGCCTGGCAGTGCGCTCGTTCTGTGAGCTGGAGGACCTCCTCGAGGAGAACGATAATTTAATGTAGTAGCATGAGGGAAGTGTCATGAAATATGGTAGGTTACGTATTGTAGTTGAGAAGAGAATGATTTTGGTTGCCTGTTCTGGTGGTTTCCTTTTTTGTTGGCATGTTTTTGTGCCAATGTTTCGCCAGTGTTTATAACTAGGAGGCTTATTGGGGTCAGCCCACTTGTACTTGGTGTTTGTTTGCAGTGAATTGTGGGTATAAGCATTGAGAGCAACAGCTCACCGTATTATATTTGGTACAGACTTCAAAATGATCAGCCAGGCACACTGACTGACTTCAAAACGATTGGAGGGATGATTGGGTTGGGAACATGAAATGGTGATGACTCATGAGGCTTGCAAAGCTGTATTCAGTACCCATTGCTGCCTACTAGCATTTCCGGCCACTGAAAATAGCTACTATAACTAGTCCTGCTTTGTCCTGATAGGTACCTAATGAAAATCAGCAGCCTCCTACTAGCTAGCAGCACAGCATCATAGAAGCAGCCTTTCTGATTAAAAACAAGCTCATGCCATTTCTATGCAACCGCATGCTATGTATGTCCTGTGAAATTGACAGCAGGCTGACCATGTGGACTAGCCATCTTATCAGTCATGTGCCAACAGCCAGGTACACTGATTTCATATGCAGCGAGGAAATGAATGTCCTCCAACATATCCACCAGCCATGGATCTCTTCACGTTGTAGTCAAATTGCCGTGGATTGGTGCGCAGAACCTCTGCTGCTTCATGGTTCAGTGGGTCATCAGGATTGGGATCCTGTGGGGAAAACAATGCAGAAGTGTTGAGATTGGAATTATGGCATCAGCCGCAATCCATTCCGAGAAACACTGCATCACAACACACACTCGAAATTCCACACATCCCACCCACCAAACCCCTACCCAACACATATGATGCCTCACATTGAGTCAAACGTACCAAGAAAAGAAACTGCAAGCCGTAGACAATAGAGTTGATGCTCAAAACAGGCTTCCAGTCTTCTCTCAAAATGTTTAGACAAACATTCCCTTCTAGATCAATGTTTGGGTGGTACACCTGCAAGTGATATGAAAAGCGATCAGCAATCAAGACGATCTGGAGTTGGCGAAATTCTGACCTCAGGAATATGTTTCATAAACACAAACAGCCGGATACATGATGCAAATGAAAGTGCTAAGTGCTGTACCTTGGTTTTGCACTTCACTTTGGGAGCTTCATGAGGGTAAGAAGGTTGAATCTCAAAGCTGAAAGTGAACGTTCCCCCTCTGAGAGGTGCAAAGAGGTTGACAAGGAGCGTTTGACAAGGGTGCACGATTTAACACGCATCTACGACTTTAGGGTTGAAGTGGGTGTTGGGAGGTTCGGTGAACGATGCACAAAGCCGGAACAGATAAGAGGTGGAACAGAGCTCGCGATGTGAAATCAGCAAAGAGACAGAGATGTGAAGTCGATATGAAGTCAAAAGGAGGCAGAGAGAGTACACACCAAGCGAGATCTCGGAGACGCCTAAAGCGTGAAAGTTAAGAAGCGCTTACATGTAGTAGCCTTCATCTGGCTTAATCGTAATCTCAAACTTCAGAAGGTTATCCTTTCCCTCTGGAAATGCGATGCTCGTTGTTGTTGGAAGATTCAACTCAGAAATATCTGCAGGGAACAACACAACTACTCAGCATCATTCTTGATTACCACGGTCCAATAGTTCGCGGACGACATGATAACTCCCCGCGATACTAAAAAGCAGTGACAGCGAATGCTCACCCTTTTGAACTCTCAACTCGCCAGCCGACTGTTTCCTTCCTGGAGCTCTGCCATTATTGCTTTCTGCTGCTTCCCGTTGCTTCTTCTTGATCATACCTAGGTTAATCATATTGGCTAAATGCGGCGACTCGAGGCCACCCCCAACGACCAACTCAAAGCCGTTCGTCGCAGGATTGATCCACTGCCTGTAAGGGAAAACCAGCGACGCGAAATCGCGAGGACACCGTAGACGCGTAGAGAAAACACGGAAACTCCGATAACCACTAGAACTTAACAGGCAGGAAGCGAGAAGATGCAAGCTGCGCCAACCAGAACAGCTTGTGACAAGTCGTTTTGTTGTTCAAAGATTTGTGGCAAAATACGAGTTCAAGTCGAGTTCCCAGAGCTGGGAGGTCGCAACGCAAGTCAAGCGTGAGCGATGGGGATGCGGGGGGAAGCAAGCGACAGGAGGCAGCTGGTCGAACAGGAAGTAGTTGAAGGTGCCACGCGTTACAAGGTAAAAACAATTAAAAAAGCAGGCTATTATGTGACACATTATGATTTAGGTTAAAATTTGCTCGTTACAGAATGTAATACCGAGTAGCTTTGCATTTGAGCCAAACACTATTGTACGTCAAGCAATGCATGATTGTCTAGACCTTGGCTGTTGTCTGGGTTAATGTCAACTAGCATGTCAACCTTCAAACATCGCCTCCGGCAGTAGGTTCTGAGACCTTGGCTCATCAAATACCTGCCCAGCGAACAAAAGTTGCCAACAATGATATTTGACAGTATTAGCAACCAAGCTGCTGCTACAGATCACCATCTGCAGCATAATGCAGGCATAGTCAATAACAACAGCTGAAAGAATGACTGCTTGTACAACAAAAATTGCACATGAAACTTGTATGCATCACCTTGTAGGTGTAGATAGGCCCAGAGAAAACTGGGTTATTAGCAGACAAACACGACTGCGTGCTGTAGGGTTGCAGTGTTAGGACTAGTAGGTTGAGCAAATAAGGAAGGTCGCCCTGCTGAAGTGCATCCAGCAAGCCATCTGTCGCACAAACAAGACAGAAAAATGAAGTGATCAGCTCTACGGAGGATGCTTGCAGTAAGGAAGAGAGGGACAGGGGAGTATATGTGCACGCGTGTGTGTGCAGTGGGAGAGATGGGTGTGGGGGTGTGTGGGTGTGAGAGAGAACGAGAGAGAGGGAGAGAGAGAGAGAGAGAGAGAGAGAGAGAGAGAGAGAGAGAGAGAGAGAGAGAGAGAGAGAGAAGGGGGGGGGGAGAGTGGGGGTGGGGGTGGGGAGTCAGGCCACAATGAAAACAAGTTCCATTACATATGTAACAAGCGAAAATGTACCAGCAGGGAAAGACACAGAGAACCAGGGCACGGAAAATCAGGGCGTGGAGCGTACCACAAATAAGTGAAACCACGCGGGGAGAAATTGGACGAAGTGAAGTGGCCGTCACAATCCACTTGAGAACCATAGGTGAGGTCCGGAGCAGCACAACAACGGACTGCACCAGCACACGCGGAACCACTATCCGCAACACAGCGCTAGCTACCCGTCCCCTGAATGACTGCTGTACTAGCTGCCACACTCCGCCAGCCTGCTGCCGCGACATCACCACCTCAGGCTGTCCACGTGGACGCCCCTCCTCAACTCCCGCATGCACATGCATACCATCCTTTTGCATAACACCCTCGTTACTGTCACCACCTTCTCCAGTGTTCAGAACCCCTGGTGGCCCCAGCAGCAACAGCCCTGCTACCAGCCCCTGACCCAGCCTTTCAGCAGCAGCATGAGCAAGAGGAGAGCCTAGGCCAAAGCCCACTATCCACAGCCCGGGTACTAGGTGCAGCTGTTGGGCTAGCTGCTTGATGTCGTCGGCAACAGCAGCGGCGAATGATGCCGTTGTGGTGGTGGCCTGGAGAGGGAGAGGGTCGCTGAACCCTGTTCCAGGGAGGTCGAAGGAGATCACGCGGATGGACCGTTGATAAAAGAACGCCTCGCTGCGAGGCAATAAAGCAACAACAAAATATGCTCGTCGGTTTGGCAATCCGACACATACGGGATGTAGACAACCCGCTGCAATAAAATGGTCTGGCAAGAGGAGTTAGGGGAACGAAGCGTACCTGAGACCTGGAAAACCCGCGGTGCGGCAGAGAGGGGGTGCGTGGACGACCAGGAGCGTGTGACGCGCACTTCCCTGCGGCACTCCAAACTCCTGCCACGCCAGAAGTCGTCCGTCCGTCATGCGAATTCGCTTCGGCTCGGGTAGCTTTTTTTGAAACGGTGAGAGTATAGTCGCACATCCGATGCACGTTCCTAAATACATATATACAGGAAAAGAGAATGAGAGAGCGAGAGCGAGTGAACGAATGAGACGAGAGCGAGTGAACGAATGAGAGCGAGAGCGAGTGAGTGCGTGTGTGTGAACGACAGCAGGAGCTCACACACAGCAAAATTCCAGCATCTTGTGAGGGTAATTACCAGCGAACGATGTGTAAGCGAGTGTTGCCCCGATGATGAGCAGGGTTAGCATTAGCAGGCAGAACGGTAGCGAGATGAGGATCAGAGGAGCCACCGGAAGCAAAAGAAATGACCAGAGGAGCAATGAAGACAGGTCTCGGCCTCCCCGCTTCAGACTCATGATTAAGGATGAGGATGTTGAGTGAAGGCTCGATGGCCACGTGGTGTAAGCCGTGGACCAGGCTGACGTGGACTCTTGTGAGGCGCATGATTCCCTGTCGCCGTCTCGTTGGTCGTCCAGGTCCTCGCGTCCAGCCGCTCCGGCAGAAGATGATTCTTCCGTGGTAGCGAATGACGACAAGGCAGGCAACTCTTCAGCGTCGTCGAAGTTGACCTCCTTTGACTCGTCTGATCTAGGTGACAGCTGGTCTGACGAGCGCGGCGGAGTAGAGTGAACAACGGCTTCATCTGTGTTCGTTCCAGGTTGAAAAGATTCTGGATGCGAAGGTTCTGGCGTTTGTACATGGAGTGGCATCGAGAGGTCAGGCTTAGGCTCAGATATCTCCGGAGTCAAATCTCTGACTCTGCTCGACTGAAGCCTTCCGTTAACAGAGCTGACATCGCGTGGAACCACAGGAACATGACCAGGACTGTCCTTCCGAGCTTCCTGGCCTTTGACCTTCGGCATACCCCATTCTTCGTCCAGCAAGCTTAGCAAGTCCTGGGAGGGAACTGAAACTGATTGTGCATTCGACGAGCGTCTCGACTTCCGAAACATTGTTCCTCCTGGCAGAGAATTACCCGGAGCTATCACGAGCTTTCAGGAATGGCCGGACTAGTCACGTACAACCAGGCACAAGCATTTCAGGCCAACGATTTGAACAAAGCTGAAGGGAAATCACTTTCCCGCAACCATCGAGCGTTCGTGCTAGTCCGGTGTGTGCGCGGGGTGGTGCGAGAAACTGGAGAACCCCGAGGTGAAGGGTGTGGAGAGGGCGGGGAAGGGCGTCATGTCATCATTCAGCAGGAGTAACGAGATTCTCTTGAGTGGAATGCGCTATGTTCGGCAAGTCGAGTGTGCGACACTCTCCAGTCATGAGTCACATGACAGACCTGCACCTTGATCCGAGCCAGTTTTTCTTGCCATTTTTCGGGGCCTTCTCCGTGCGTAACAGGTTCGGTTTGTCAGATGTCACAAACGGCCTGGGCCAGACCAGACCTGGATCAATTGGTGCTCTTTACCCTGGGCCCAGATGCGTTGATTATGGAACCTTGAGAGCTCTGCAGCCAATCACGTGGCTCTATCAACTCCGCGCCGACCTTCTCTCCGATTCCTCCATGCGCATACCCATGTAGCAGTAGATGATATTGTGAATGCTAATATATTAGTAATTTGTAGATATCAATCAGCCAAATTTTTGCTGCCATGGAGCCACCACCTTTCTCATGCCAGTTCAGGCCGGCACATTTCAATAAATGAATGACATCCAAACACTGAGGAGCTTTAAGCACGATCTTAAGCCACAAGACCTCTCTGGCGTTGCAGCCACTGCTGTCTGCCATTCACCACCCATGGCATCCGCAATACCTCCTCCGCACTCGGCCGGTGCTTAGGATCTGCAGCCAGCAATCTCCTCACCACATCCTTCGCCTCTCCCGACACGCTCACCCACGCCGCTGTCCCCATAGGAAGCTGTGCCCGCCGAATATTCAACAACAGCAGGCGGGTGCGCCGCCCAGAAAACGGCAGCTGGCCGCCCGACAGCACCATGTACAGACAAATGCCGATGCCCCAGACGTCTGCAGGGAAGCTGACAGGGAGCCCGGCCGCCACCTCAGGTGCCACGTAGGCAGGGCTGCCAACAAGACCTCGTGTGGCTGCCTGCCCTGGCTGAAGCTTCTCTGCCAGGCCAAAGTCGGCCAATCTCAGCCCTTGCACCTGATTGAGAGCAGGAAGAGGGGAATTGTGCGAGCGCTGCTGCTGCTGGCATGTGCAGGTGCACACAGGGAGTGCGGCAGCAACAGCATCAGCACAAATAGGGAGCTCAGCGTGGCCAGCCTTGAGACACTGCATCCCATCCTCCAGTTGCTGCATCAGCTGCTGATGCTGCTGCTGCTGCTGCTGCTGCTTTTTCCGGAGGCTTGTTCGCCCCAGCCAGCTGGCGAGAGAGGCAGACCGCCTGTGCCCATGTGCCCTGCCATGCGCACTGCCATGCACTCTGCTATGCACTCCAGCGTGAAGTGGATGGCCAGCAGCAGCACCCACACTGGCTGCCTGGTAGCGCCCTGACTCTGACACCACGGGCCTAACCCTCGCCCCAGCAGCCTCACTATCGGCAGCATGCGCACCAGCAGCGGTGGAGAGGGTGGAGAAGGAGGGGCTCTTGCGCAGGAACTCACTGCTTGGCTTCATTGACGCTGATCGCTGCACTGGTGTTGACTGTCCCACTGACGCTAACCCCTCCACTGACGTTGACTGCCCCACTGACGTTGACCGCCCTACAGCACGGGCAGAACGAAATTTTTGGTCCTGCAAAGACGCAGCTGCGGCGGAAGGGGAACGCGGAGAGTTGAGGACGGTGATTGGCTGGGAGCTAGGCGGCAATGTCAGGAGAACGTTCTCTGGTTTGATGTCTCGATGTAAGATGCCCCGCTTGTGGCAATAAGCCACGGCTGCAGCGATCTCAGAGACGATCCACGCTGCTTCGTCCTCCCATTCCTGCTGCCGCCTCCTCCCTTCCTCCGTCATCCCTCCATACACCAACGCCCTACTGCTCGCAAGCCCTTCCGTTCCTGCTGACCCAGCTCCTGCTGAAGTGGACAATCCTGCATCCCCAGTGGCCGCAGCGTGCCCGGCGCTTGTTCGCCCCGCGAACGACGCCGCAGCAGCCGCTGCTGCCTCCGCGAGTTGCGCTAGCTCCCCCGTCGACGCGGACTTCTCCATTCCCTTTCCCGTCAGCGCCTTTCGCGGCACCCAATCAGCTTTCAGCTGCGACGCCACGGAGTCTTCTTCCTCCTGCTCCGTCACATCGTCCACGACCCGTTCACTCTCTCTTCCGCTCTCCCCAATTCGTTCTTCGACCCGCATCCTATGCCGCCAATCGCGACCTGCTGAATTAGTCCCCCCCAGCTCCTCCAACCCCTCGTTCTCTCCGCTCTCTTCCTCCGAGTTCGATTCCCACGTCGCCGCCTGATACCATCTGTGAGGATTGTTCTCCGCATCTGACGCCACTCCCGTCGCCGGCGGTGACGGCGAGGTGTTTCCGGAGCCTGCGGAGCGATCCCCCTCGGCAGCGACACGCGCGGAGAATCGAGCACCTTGGCAGTGCACGGGGCACGGGATAGCGTGAGAAGCAGCAGCGGGAGAGATAGCGTTGGCGGCGGCGGCCAAGGTGGCGACTTGCCCGCGGCGCCGTTTCTCGAGGAATTCGGCGAGCGAGCCGCCGCGGCAGAGATGCATGACGATGTGGAAGTGCTGCCGGCCCTCCACCACAGATAGCACCTGCACCACGTTCCCCTGTCCCACGTTACCCTGCCCCGCTGCTAGTGCATCCGCCGCTCGAGCGGATCCAGCATCTACAGCGCCTTCGGCCACAGATATTTCGGCTACAGCCGGTTCAGCTACAACGACTGGACCTGTCGATACAGCCCGATCCGGCTCGTCAGCCTGACCGGCGGTAGCCGATCCGAGCATGAGGCTAATTTCAGCCTCCGATTCGACCAGCCACTGCTGCCGAGCCACGTCAGCCTCGGTCACCTTAGTTCGAATTAGCGACGGAAGGGCGCTCTGGCGCGCTTTAGGGATGCTCTTAATGGCGACGCGGGTGCTCGTGGCGCGATCTACGGCCTCGTAGACGGAGCCGAACCGGCCGCGTCCGATTCGGCGAACGATGGAATAGCGCGATCGGATGCTGCCTTTTGTGATGGTTTGTATCGAACTTCGATTGGCGGCGAGGTCGCTAGCCTCGATTGTAGCCATCTCGTTTAGGTCTTGTTGAAGGCCGGCGGGTGTAAAAGTGTCTGCTGGCGCGGACGCGGGTGGCCGGACGCGAGGGAGAGGGATCGGAACGCCGGACGGTGAATCGAAGGCGGGAGAATCTAACGCAGGGCGAGAGGCCACCGACGCCGTCGCATGGGCATCGTATTGGAGTGGACGGACCTGGACGGATCGGCTCGACGGCGTGTCGTTGTGAGAGTGGAATGCCTGAGGTGACTGGAAGGCCTCTGGGGCGATGGCTCTGACGGAATCAACGTCCGCCATGGCTGCGCGCGGTGGCAGCGGTGGGCGTCGATAGTGAACGTCCTAGATTTACCAGCTGCAGAAATTTAGTGTTGAACGGAATTAGGCAAGAAAGGGTGGTGGTGGCGCTTTGCACATCACCAATTCCGTCATTACATTATCGTCGAACAGAAACGTTTTTCTTGATGGAGAGAAACTTGGAGCCTACGCTCTTGGGGTGACAGTTCCTTGTAGCCCCTCGAGTCTCGACACACCAACTCCTCTGGCGATAAACGGATGGCACTGCGACTCGGATGGTCTGTCGAATCAAGACGGTGCGACTCGCGTGATGTGTCCAAGGTCACGGCCACCCGTTATGGTAAGCTCTTAGATCTCATCCGTTCATCCGCAAAATACAGCTCAATACGGTTTGCCGAGTCAGCATTCCTAGGTTGTGCTCCCCACCTATGACACACGCATCAAAGGCATAATGTACGGCGATGACGTGGAGTAGAACATCTTGCTGTGAAGATGCCATGACGACAGCAACTTGAGTGCAGAGAACCTTCTTGAGCATAAGCTCGATTGAAGGAATCTCGACTTTCAAGAAGGTGGTCTATAGAATGTAATATGCGCATACATTCTAAGATCGTAAACGATGTAATTTCTGTAGTCTTCTGCACCTTTTGAACGAAAGCAGGTTGGCCCAACATCTCGAAGTCGAGCGTCGTCTCCGTTATGGGAACAGACGGCGGCGATCCGAGCCTTTATGCCGTCGTGATGGCTTGGCTGAAACAGCGCCATTTGCGGCGGCGTCGCCTCTATTGCGGTTCGGCAACACTTGACCAACCTCGTTGTTGTGGTTCTGTACAGTTCGACATGCGATTTCTCAGTGTTCGCTAATGTTCCAAGTCGAAAATAAAATCATTGTAGCCAATGTTGCAGTCGGTACATGATAATACCGAGGGAGGAGCCCCTCTGGGCAGGGGCATGAACAAAAAAAAAACCGCGAAGACAGCGGTGATGCCGATTGACCCTCTGCAGATGTCATGTCAACAGATCTCACGTCCTCATCCACTCGCAAAGAATCAGTGACGATGCGCGATCGCCCCAACTGGTCTCGTGCACGGCGTACGAGTCGCAACATCAACGGCCACAGCTTCCTCGCCGAAGCTTTCTTCCCTCTCTGTTCGGTAACTTCCGAGCCACTGCCGTGGCTGACCTGCTTGCTTGGGGCTGCGCTGAGCGCGCACATCTCATCTTCCCAACAAATTCATTCCCACCAATTATGGTGCAGAACGATGAGTGAGGCTTGGTTTACAGGACCTTCTTGTAAACCGAGGTAGGCACGGATTAGGTTAGGTTGGGTCGCTCGCTTGATACTTGTGCTTCTTGGTTCGCTCCAGCGACACATGTAGTGCTGAGGAAGGACGACTGGTAGGCAGGGTATCCTGGTATAAATACTGGAAGCCCTTCCATCCACACTACCTGGTGTTTGCACCAGTGTCCGTTCTGTTCATCCGCTCGTTATTCCTGGTCAGCCTATAGTTGTCCTCAGCTTTGTAGCTCTTTGAATTTGCTTACCAACACAAGAGTGTTCGGCAGAATCTACCATAGAAACGTGCTTTCGCGTCGAGCTTAATAGCCACCGCTCCATGTCGCGTATATCACCAGCATTGCGAGAACCCATCCGTTAGAAGGTTTCATCGTAACTATGGCCGTCGCGTCCGTCGCTTGCGAATCAGCATCCGTTCGACTGGAGCCTCCCAGTCTGGCCGCACCATCAGAACTGCGCTTGTCAGGAGTCGAACCCACGCCAGTCGTAGAAACCCCACAAGACCAGCACCACGGCGGCACCTCGGGTCTCGACACATCCCTTGCGATTCTCAGCTCCGCTCACGCCGCTCTCTTAGACTCCCCGTGCGGGTCTTCCCTATCTGCGCTCTCTCTCTTGGTCGCCGTCTCCCTAACCCAAGCCCTGCACGACGGGTTATGCGCGTCCGGCAAGATTCGAACCCACGTCTCACAGTTCATTCTCGAGTGTCTCGAGGATATTGAAGCGGAATTGCCGCACATACACGCGCCCCCCGTCGACTGCTGGGAGTGGGACCTCGTCGCAGGCCCCCTGCCTGTGCTTGCCACTCACCACCTTGACTCCGAGTCGCCGTCTTGCGATAACGGTCAGGCTATCAAGCCGTCGAGATCGTCGTCGTTATCTAAGACGGCGTCGAATGCAGCGGTGAAGGCGGCGGTGCGGGCCCAAGGCGCGTCGAGGGGTCTGCGTGTGCAATGGCTGGACGAGGCGAAGGGCGCGGCGCTGACTGCCGTCAGGGAATTCCGGCGCTGGTGCGTGACGCGGGGAATTCCGGGTTAGCGCGCGGATTAGATGGCTGAAGGGAGCGGGTGGGGATGCGGGGAACGCGTTGGTGTGGGTTGCCTGGTGTGGGGCAGGTAGGGCTGAAAAGATTAGCGGATGAGAGTGCGTGCGGTACGGTCTAACTGGGTTGTGTTGGTGTTGCAGTGCTGTAGTCTCGACGCGTCAGTACGAGCTTGCTTTTCCGCTTCAATTTGCTGAGATAATGGTGCATTATTTCTGTGGATTCCAGTCTTGTTCTCACGCATGTTTTGTCTCCCATGTATCTGCAGTGATCATGAAGCCGCCGCGATGGGATACCGTACCGAGTTGTGCTTTATCGAGGATAGCGCCTGCAGCTGCTCTCTCCAGTAACACCTTTAGGCTTTGAGATAGAACGGGTCTGTTCGTGTTGCCGTTATTACTCCCGCGTTCCCCATCCGTTGTTGACATAATAAGGGGGTGACGTCTAGTCTCAGCTGATGAGGGTTGAAAGGTATAATTCCTGGAATAATGAATACACGTACCATTGACATTGTTCTTCCAATGCAAATGTTGCTGTACATCTGAACTCGGCCACCAAGCAAGGGAAATGTACACATTGCATACAGCTTGTCACATCTCAGCTTTGCCACCTAGCAATGCTGCACTTTCACTCTCCACGTTCACAACAGCATGAGTGAGGGGCGCCTTAGGAACCACTGTTGCTGCTACTGCTGCTCCTTCACCCTGCAGATCTTTTCCCCCATTTACATCAATCCCGACCTCAATGTTATCGGAAGCAGCTACCTTATGAGACGCCTTGAGGTCAGGTGATAATGCAAGAATGTAGTCTATGGATGAACGGGGAGCGTTCCGAGCAGCCCTGGCATAGAGAGCAAGGGCGAGGAGCATTGTAAAGACGAGCACGGCAATAAACAGAATACCTGCGAGCGCAACACCCACATGCTCCTCCGCTTCCGTGCCACACTTAACCATCTTATAATCCACATTGTGACAACCCGGTAAGTGGAGCACTCCATAGAGGAACAGAGACATGGTCCAGAGCCAGAGGCCTTGGAAAAGGAACCCCGAGAGGAACATTGCGTCCAGGAGAAAGCAGGAGGGGAAGGCGGCGACGAGGAGCGCGAGCAGGAAGCAGATGACGCCAGCGAGTGCTTGGAAAAGGTGGAAGCGGGGCTCGAGGCCCTGGTGGGAGATGGAGTGGAAGGTGGTGAGAATGGCCTCGCTGAAAAAGCCGATGGCGTAGAGGATGTGCAGGGAGCCTGGTGGGAGAGGCAGGAGACTGGCAATGGAGGTGGTTGGAATGAAAGAGGGGTGGGTGAAGGAGGGGAAGAGAGGTAGGGTACAGGGGTGCGGGGACGGGAGGGGGGATGTAGGAATGTCAGGAAAATTGGGAGGATTCGCAGGAGGTTTGGAAAATGACATGAGGAAGATGGAACTATGCTGTCTATATACAAGCATTTGGACCAGGATTCGGCAGATACAGAGCTTCATTCATCCATTGTGAGATAAACTCGAACAACTTTCCTTGGGCTCACCTGGTTGTGTCATGTACATAGAAGATGAGCCCTATTGTAACGAAGACAGCAAAGAGCAAGGCGTGCTGCGGTGGGGAACGAAAGGGGTGCAGGACGAACGGAGGGAGAAGGAAAGATCACATGTTGCAGCTCAGAATGTGAAACAAGCAATGGATGCTGGTAAGGTACATGGAAGGTGAACCAAGCGCAACGCGGTGCAGTGTGGTTCGAGGAGGTACTGAAAGAGAGACATTTCAAGGTGCAGCGTCCCTACGACAAAGGATCTGACGCTTCCTCAAGCTCCCACGCGACAAACTCGAAAGCATCTCAGAACGTGAAAACGAAAAACAAGAGGCTCGAGAATCCTAAAAACTCACCTCGAATTGAACGATTTCAAATCTATGCTGAAACGCAGACAGCAGTCCCAGCGAGAGCCCTTCCATGAGCTGCGCGAACGCCCCACAGATAAGTACGTACACCACGAGCCGCACCCAGTGCCCGCGAATCGGTACTGGATGCCACGCACGCGCCACGTACGCGTGCGGCGCGGCAAGGTAAGCGCGAATGGCGCAGAAAAGGTTCCATGAAGCGAAAATCAGCGCGACCGTTCCTGCGCACGTGTGTCCGAGGAAGGACCCCATAAATGGGGACTTTTCTTTCGTCTGTCACAGACACGGTTACCGTCAACCTAGTAACGTCTCAAAACAAGCTGACTGAAAATCCGAGCTCTTGTGGCACGCGATAGCACTAGTAGGCTTGTTCCGAGACGTCACCTGGAACGCGGTTTTCAGTGCAACTCAAACGGTAACTTGGAATCGCCAGGGTTGTGACTGATCTTTGAGACACCTCCAAGATTGAAATACTACGGTGGCAGCAGAGAAGAGAGCAGAAGCGTGATTCAGAGGAGAGAGCGGAAGCGTGATTCGGTCAGGCCGATATCGACCGCTAGGACGGTGTTGATATCTGCCAGTAAGTGCTCACCGTGACTCGTGAAGACCCTTCGGTGCCATGATGGCACCATGGTGCTTCGGGTACAGTTGCTGTCAGTCCAAGTCCAACGGTGACCTGTTCGACACGCAACGACTCGTGCGTGTGGTTGCAAATGTCGAAAGCAGTGGACATCGTCGGAGTTTTGATTCTTGATTCTTGAACAGTGAATTCAAGGCTCTTAGCTGCTCCATTTAGATTCAGTTCTTGCCCGCTGATTTACTATGGAAAAGATGAGAAGTAGGCGGACAGCAACTAACTCCCTAGGAACCTACTTGTTGCTCCTAGGAACCCACCGACACTCGCTGAATACTGATGCTCACTGACACGCAGAGACTCTGATGGATTCCACCAGACTCTCTCACGCTCCCGCTCACCTCAGATACCAGAAGCGAAGCGATCCCCCCTGACTGCGCGGGGATGGATGTTTACTGGAGCCTTGGGAGTTGCGACGAGGGTAGGGATGTGGGATGGGATCAGGTTGGATGTGATTGAAAACGGTGAAGGCCCCTCCAAGGGTTCCCGTGATCCATCACACGAAACCCGCTCAACCGTACAATAGCACCAGACGAAAGCCTTTTCGAATCTGGTACAAAAGCCTTTGCCAATCTGCAATATGAAATAACCAAGAGCGGAAAATTTGTTTTCTGTCAAACTACTGGTAACTGGACAGCCAAAAGGTGGATGTGATCTCTAGGGTGGGTTGTGTGCACATGCCCCTCTACTGCACCTAGGTGACAATGTACTAAAGGCTGGGCTCCTCCCACCCACAACTACGGCTATTTGTAACAATCCTACCTTTTTTTCATCCAAGCATATAATGATATATAAAAAGCACATTAAAGCAACCAGATTCACGCCTCGGATATCCTTTTCCTTTTTAAGATAAAAGGCCTTTCTCCTCGTCTACACCTGCATCTGTGTCCAAACCATTCTCATGTGCATTAAGCATCCCCAACACAACCTCTCCCTTGCCACCATTCCCCCTCCCACCACCATCTTTCCTCTCCCCTTCCTCACACTCCACAGCATGCGTTGCATGGATAAAATCAAGAGACGACTGCGGAGCAGCGCTTGCAACTGCGCCGTAATACATGAGCGAGAGCACGAGGGTGCAGGCGAGGAGAGCGATGAACTGCAGCACGGCGAGGGCCATGGCTCGATGCTCATTTGCATCGGAGTCACAGTGCACGGTGTCAGGGCCTAAGTAGCAGCCCGCTGGGACCATGGGGCCATACAGCGACATGGCGGTCTGCAGACACGAGAGGGAAAGCAGGAGGAGAGGAGGAAGTGGGGGGGAACGGACAAAGCAGGTTTGTTCTGTGCTCGCTTGCATCGGAGTCGCAGTGCACGGTTTCAGGGCCCAGGTAGCAGCCTGCAGGGACCATGGGGCCGTACAGCGACATGGCGGTCTGCAGGGGAAGGAAAAGGTGTTACACGGGTGATGCAGGGGCGAAACGGATGGGGGAGGGTGAGAGGTGTCAGTGGTGCTGCTTGTTCGCTTCGAGCTTTGGAGTTGCATCGCAGTGCATGGTGTCAGGGCCCAGGTAGCAGCCCGCTGGGACCATTGAGCCATAGAGAGACATAGCGGTTTGCACGGGGAGTGGGGCACAGCAGCGGCCAGTAGCGCACACACGACACGACACAGGTCCGACGGAGATTGCAAGGAGACGATGGAGATTGCAAGGAGACGATGGAGATTGCAAGGAGACGATGGAGATTGCAAGGAGACGATGGAGATTGCAAGGAGACGATGGAGATTGCAAGGAGACGATGGAGATTGCAAGGAGACGATGGAGATTGCAAGGAGACGATGGAGATTGCAAGGAGACGATGGAGATTGCAAGGAGACGATGGAGATTGCAAGGAGACGATGGAGATTGCAAGGAGACGATGGAGATTGCAAGGAGACGATGGAAGGAAGGAGCGACTGACCTGCCAGAAAAAGAGCCCCTGCAAGACGATCGCGCCGCTGCCAACGGCGTCGAGCAGGAAGGAGTGCGGCCACGCAGCTGCCAACAGCGCACACACGACGCAGGCGGCGATGGCGATGGCGAGCAGCATGTGGTAGCGCGGCTCGAGACCATGGTGGGCCGTGGAATGGAGAGTAAAGAGCATGCCCTCGCAGAAGAATGCGAGCGCTGCTAGGATGTGCAACGCGCCCAGAGGGAGGGGGAGCAGGCTGTGGGAGGAGTGGGGATGGGTGGAGAGGGGTGAGGAGGGAGAGGGGTGGGTGAGGAGAGGATGGGGAGCAAGCTGTGGAGCGAGCGCTGCTAGGACGTGAAACGCGCCCAGGGGGAGGGGCAGCAGGCTGTGGGGGAAGGGGTGGGGATGGGTGGAGAGGGGTGACGAGAGATTGGGGGATGGACGAGATGGGTGGGGCGGGATGGGGAAAGAATGGGCAGTGCGATGGGTGCGAGGACATGGCATTTCGATCCCATCCCCCTCCCCCCACCCTCTTCCCCCTCCCCCTCAAGAACATAAACCGTTCATTTTTCCACCCTGCTGACCTGGTGGTTTCGCTGATGAGAAGGGCGCAGCCGAGCAGGAAGAACATTAGCAGCATCGCTGCGTGCTGCGCTGGGGGGAAGATGTGTGGGGAGAGGGGAGGATAAGAGGGGGAGAATAGGGTGGAAGGTGAGGGGAGGGGGGAGGATGAGGGGTACATGTAAAAATGGATTTTTTTTTTTTATTTTTTTTTTAAAGGCGCCTCAAACATGGAGCATGCCTCATAAATGAATGTTGAGCAGTTGGGCTTCCAGTCCGCGCCGATCAATGCGCGCCGATCAATGCGCGCTGTTAAGTGGAAGAGCGAGGTACCTCGAAGTTATTAAGGTGGCCGGGCGCGACTCCGCCATTCTCGATCGGATGGAACCCGGTCCCGACTCCTAGCTCCACTAAAGCCATATCTAGAAACGACCCCACTACTATAATGTACAGCTCGAGCCGCGCCCAGTGGCCGGGTAGCGGCGCGGGATGCCATAGTCGCGACACGAAGGCTCGCGGCGCCGCGAGGTAGTTCCTGATGCTGCATCGCAGGTGCCACAGCCCCACTAACAGGAAAAGCGTCCCGGGGATTATGTGACCTGCGAAAGAGCCCATGCCTGGGGAATGCCGCGACAAGCAGGTGGCATGCACTCGTTGAGGTGTATGTTTGGTCGTCTGCTTGTACGTGCGGCAGAATCTAGGAATGTTGGGCCGTGGAGCTTGCTGGCACAGCTGTTCTAGGGGTACCTTTGCGACAATACAGGGTGTTTCGGTAAAGTGAAAGCGTCATTTGGACGTAAACAAGTTTCGGAAAAAATCAGACGTGGACAGTTATCCTAATGCTTAAAAACTGTCTGTCTCAAGAAAACCAAGGGGTGACAAACGCATCCATCAAGTATGTGGAGAAGATCGGTTGCTTGCGAAACAACAGTTCCTACAACCCAGAGCCGTCCAACCAACAGCTCACAGTACCCAAATACAGCCCCATCACCATCAGATCACCCTTGCATGCACGCAACTCATTGCGTAGGACCAACTCAACTCAACTCAACCTACAAAAAGTCGCGACTTGTGCTATGCCTGCAAGCCCATTTCAGCATTGTCAAGCCCATTTGGCCTCCACAGAGCCACCCACGCTTCCCTTCCCCTCTCCCCCCTCTCCTTTCCCCCCTTCCGTCTCCCCCCTCCATCCCTCAGCTCCTCTTTCCTAGTGATAGCTGTCCCACTAGTGGCCACTGGCCACTAGCGCCCTACTCTCACTCAGGTGATTTCTTAACCCTATCAGCCCTCTTCCCCATCATCCCATCACCCCTCTTCCCTATTATCCCATCACCCTCCTCCCAATCATCCCCATCACCCTCCTCCCCATCATCCCATCACCCCTCTCTCGCCCGTTTGGCCTGCATGGATCGCAGAGCCCTCTCCCTCAGCTCCTCCATACTTCCCCCGAACCCCCCACCCCCCCCACCCCCTCTCCCTCTCTCCCCACCCTCTCCCTCCTCCCACTCCCTCTCCCTCTTGCCCCTCCCTTCACCAACCCCCCCTTCACCATTCATCCCTCCCTCCTGCAGTCTCTCCTCTTCATCCTCACTGCTGCCTCGATCCTCCCCTCCCATGCCCCGTCGTGCCTCCTTAGCAGCGCGCTTCTCCTCCTTGCGCCGCCGCTTCTCTTCCTTCCTCCTCCTCTTCTCCTCCTTACGTGCCTTCTTCTCCTCCTTCCTCCTTCGCTTCGCCTCCCGCCTCTCCTCACTGTTCATCCCCTCCTCCTCCTCCCAATCATCACTCCCCGCCCTTCCAAACCCCTCCCCAGCCATCTGACCTCCCTGCCCGTCCCCTCGTGTCCCGGCCTCTCTTGTCGGACGGCGGGGGGAGGGAGAAGCAGAGGAGGGAGGGGAAGCATCTTGGGGAGACGGAGATGGTTCTTGGGAAGAGAGAAAGCTGCGAGAATTTTTCTGACTCCCCCCTGCCTCCTCCTCCTCCTCTTCCCCCCTCCCTTCCTCCTCGCCCTGCTCCACAGCCCTCAAATCCCTCCTATCCCGCCGATCCTCATACCTGTCGCCTGGTCTACGCACATCACGTGCACCAGCACCAGCACCCCGCTCCTCCTCCCAACCTTCCCCTGGCTCATCCCTACCGCTAGGCCCCTTGCTGCTAGGTCCTTTGCTGCCAAAACCCATTGGCCCCTCTCGCATCTCCCCGCCCCTTTCATCCTCGTACCCTGCTCTCCGCCCTCCGCGCCCCTCCTCCCTGCCTGCCCCCCTCTCCTCATCTCGCCTCTCACGCCCACGCCCCTCGTACCCACTCCCCTCCCCCGTGCGCGCGACATACCTGCCCCTCTCACCCTGCCTCCTCCCCCCGTCCCCACCCCACCTTTCCTCCTCCTCATCCCCCTCCTCCTCAACCCCACCCCTCCCCCTTCGCCCTTCGCCCTCCCTCCTGCCACCAGACTTGTCAAAAGCTCTCAGACGGCCATTCGGCTCGTCGCCCTCACTCTCGTCAGCATCAGGGGAAGGAATGCCCACATCCCTCCCCCCACCCCTCCCCCCATCCCTCCCCCCATCCCTTTCCCCACCCCTTCCCCCAACCCTGCCCCCATCCCTACCCACATCCCTCCCCCCATCCCTACCCGCACCTGCACCACGCTTGGCACTTCGCCCCACGTCACCGTGGCACCTCCCTCTCACAATCACTCCTTCATCTCTCCCGAGATCATCCACCAATCGACCCGTTTTACCCTTCCTGCCTCCCTCCCATCCCCCGTCCTCCTCCTCATCGTCTTCCTCTTCCTCCTCATCTCGCAGTCCCGCCGCTCCTCTCCCAGTATCCTTGCGCACGCCACCCCGTACATTTTCCTCATACTCCGCCTCCTCCTCCACATTTCGTCGTCCTACCCCTCCTCTCGTAGAATCCTTGCGCACGCCACCCCGTACATTTTCCTCATATTCCTCCTCCTGTTCCTCCTCCTCCTCGTCACCATACTCATCACCATACTCCTCCCTGCCGCCCCTATCCCTACCGGGAACCCCCCGTTTGAACGACGTGCCCCTGTCTTTCCCGCTCCCTCGTTCATCCACCCGTCGCTCACCCCGTATCCTCTCCTCCCGCCCTCTAGCGTCCCTCCCCCTATCCTCCCAATCTCTCACCTCCCGCCCTCTCTCGCCGCGTCCTCTGCCCAGTCCGCCTTCCTCTCGCCCCCGCATCGATCGGCCAGGAGGCGGAGGGTACCGCGTAAACGACTCCTCCTGCCGGGAGGAACGGCGCGCGGGGGGTGAGCGGGAACTCCCCCCTCTGCGCCGATAGTCCCCTGGCGGCGAGCGCCCGCCGCGCTCGTACCCGCGGCTTCTAGGAGGGGATCGGTAACGGCTGCTGCGATAGGACGGCGGCGGGGGGGACCGGCGGGGGGACCGGTACGCGGGGCGGCGATGACGGGGAGGGGACCGGGAGCGGCGCTCGGGGGAGAAAGAGCGGGAGCGATGGCGACGGCGGGCGAGGGAGCGGTTCCGAGGGGGAGGAGGCAAGGGAGCCTGATCCTGCTCCGCTTTTCCCTCGCTATCACCTTCACCATCGTCATCATTAGCAGCAGCAGCGGCGGCTTCTTCACCATCTGGCCTCTCATCCTCCCGCCCTTCACCTGTTCCTGTAACACCACCATCACCACCATCACCAGCAGCAGCAGTAACAGCAGCAGCTGCGGCGGCGGCTGCTTCTTTCTCCTGCGCCAGCTTAGCAGCCTGCGCCGTGAACGCAGCAGCAGCGGCCGTGGCGGCGGCGACGGCAGCGTTGCCGGCAGCAGTAGCGGCTGGGTCAGCTGGCGCTGGTACCGCGGCGGGCGCAGCAGGTGCAGCAGCAGGAGCAGGAGCAGCGGCGGCAGCAGCGGCAGTGGGAGCGAGATGTCCCAGGAGGGCAGCCGTGAGGCGCGCTGCTGCTTCTGCGGCCTTCCGTCGAGCAGCCTCCACGTCCACGCCCTGCGCACCAGCAGCGCAGCGAGGGACAGACGGATCACGGGAGTAGAGAGAGGAAGACAACAAACGGCACTTTTCGGACGTACGTTGGAAATACGACAAGGGAGCGCTCGTGTGAGTGCGTGTGCTGTTGTGTGCTCAAAAGATTATCAAGGCCTGAAGAAGTAAAGCAGACAGCGAGTATTCGTAGTAGCGGATCGCTCTACACTCCCCGGTACGACTCACCGGGATGGAAGCAGCAGCAGAGCCAGGGCCCAGCAACGAGCCCTGCTGCATCCCCTTTTTGCGCCCGATCTCAGACAAAATCCGCTGCTCCGCCTCCTGAAAACCAGGAGAAGATACAACGGCGGGGAAAAAAAAAAAAAAAAGCAGCAGGATCATATCAAATTCAATCGGATCGGATCCGACCCTAAATAAATAGGCAGACACGATCAGGAAAGGGAGGCTAAGCAGGAACGAGCAAGCCCAGTGGCGCACCTTTTTCTTCCTTGTCTCCTCCGCCTTTTCGTCGAGAAACTTCTGCGGGATGCCGCTGACGTTGGCCTGCGCGCTGAGCAGCAGGCACCAGAGCTCGCGCATGAAGCGCGCCGTGTGGCGCTCCATGAATCCGGTTAACTGAATCTGGACCTGCTTGCCGTCCACCTTCTGCGGCACGCGCGAGGGGAAAAGGGTTTGAGGGACCAGGCGGAGAGAAGGGAAAGGGAACAGCAAAGAAGCAACTGCGACGGCTGTTCTGCTGCACGAACGGTACGCAGGAGGCAAGAATAAAGCGATGGTTCTCGATCTGCGAACGGTAACAGGAGGGTTACCAGGCGGAATTGACACGGTTGAAACAGAGCCAGACGGCCAGGCAGAGAGGCAAGCGTTACTTGGTCAGCACCGAAGCCATGGCTGGTTTTCCTGCAGAGCAGATGCCCTCTTGCTGTCATGAGTCATCGATCATGGGCGATCATGGGCGATCATGGGCGACCATTGCGACCCTGATGCCATGGCGGGTCTGAGCAGTGATCCGAGCCATGTAGATGCCGAAGCTGTCGACAAGATCACAACCAATCGGAATAAGCCCTTGGACCGACACTAGACTAGGAATCTAAACAACCCCCTCGCCAAAGAAGAACATAAAAAAACAAAGATAAAAAAGTGAAACAACACCAAATCCTCTGGTAAGAAACGCCGTGTTGAGAGGCTTGTCAGAAAATCGCCATACTTTGCCCTCTAGCAGACTGTAGATGAAATTGATCAACACTTCATCCTCCACACCCAGAAGCTCTGTCACCCTCTTGGCTATCCACGGCTGCATCACCTCCTTCTTCACCTTGCTCATATCCACCTGCACACAACAAAAGAAGAAGAAACAAACAAGGGAAATGAAAACAAGTCCATTAATGCTCACTAAATGTGCGTTAGAAAGAGGTTAAAACCGCGCAAGCCGCGATCCCGGAAACGAGAAAACAAACAGTCGGATGAGACTTGCCGGTTCGTCAAGCTCCGGTGCGAACTTCTGCGTTTTAAGAAGCTTCGCGTTCTTGTTGGAAAATCTGCTGTCCTGATCCGCGCTGGTCCCTCGGAAGAATCCCCCCGACATGGCTGCAGTTTCGACACTAATAGCCAAAACAATGGATCTGCTACCTGGAAAGCCTGTCGGCTTAGAAAAATAGCTATCGAAAAAAATAAGACATCCCAAGAAGGGCCGTGGGAACGAGCTTCGGAGTCGCACACCCCGGAATAAACGATATCTCACAGGTCCATAGTAGTGACCTCCTATCCAGAATCTTTAGGTCTTGGATCACAGATGCATTGTTGAGTCTGAAGGTGTTGCTAACAAATCAAGCTTGCTTTAGAAACGGATGAGGTTGGCGACGTTTGCGATTGTCGTTAAGCTGGCGAAGCAGGGTTCGGCAATGAAAAGCTGGTGGGCGAGGTGATAATGACTTCAAAGATACTCGCTATATTGACGGATGCATATAATACCGGTATAGTGGCGGAAAAATACATGCAAAATGACAGTACAATCAACTAGATTGGCATGGAAGATAAAAATGGTTACTCTGATGCTACCCTAGCTTCTGAATGTCCCACAGGGTCATGAATCTCAACAGCCGCTAAGCTTTCCTTTGCGTCCAACCACGTCCATTTCTCCTCGGGCACACCCGTAACACAAAAATCTGAGCACTGACCTCCCCCTTCGATCTTACAACTCGGCTTCGTCACATTCCCACCCGCCCATTCCACGGAAAGAACAGCCTTGCCGCCCTGGCAAACCGAAGGCGCGACAACGGCTTGCGGGGTTTCCATGGCTCTAGCGGCGTACTTGGCGAGGAGCACGGCCCAGTAATGCACGCGGCTTTGCCATGTGCACACGTGGGAGGCGAGCTCATTGGCGTTGAGCAGCATGGTGTGCACGGCATCATCATGCTGCCTCATCCACTCGACTGCTGCCACCAGGTCCGTGAAGCTGCAAGCATGGGAAAGGCATGGGGTGGGGTGCAAGGAATCAGCCCAACTGCCTTGACAGAAACGAGCAGGCGTGGGGGATGGGAGATGGGGAGTGGGAGATGGAGAGTGGGAGATGGATTTGGGCGCGTTGAGCAGCATAACACCACATCCCCGTTAGAAGCTTGACTTGCTGCACTGCATTGCTGTGCTGCATAAAACAACGGAAAGAGCATCAAGAGCGAACAATAATCTAGTTCCTTGACATAATGCCAGCACTGACCTGTGTGTAACGGGGATGCAGTGTACTCCAGGCAGCACTGACCTGTGTGTAACGGGGATGTAGTGTACTCCAGGCAGCACTGACCTGTGTGTAACGGGGATGTAGTGTACTCCAGGCAGCATGAGCGGCTCAAAGTACTGCATGAAGCCTGATTGGTGCCGAATGATTGCCTGCTGGCCACTCAGAGCGCGACACGTGTCACGAGAGCCCACCATCTCATCCACCACGACCACGTACTTGAACGCGCTCTCCTTCACCCCCTCCTCCATCTCCTCTGCCAACACAAAGCCTTTCCTGCAGGGAAGATGGGGGGAGAGGGGGGTGAGCAGGGGGGTGGGAGGGAAGATACGCCATCTCATCCACCACAACCACACTTGAACGCGCTCTCCTTCAGCCCTCCTCCATCTCCTCTGCCACCACAAAGCCGTTCCTGCGGGAAAGAGACCCACGGGATGATGGGAGGGAGACGAGAATGAGGATGGCAGGGGGACGAGAAGGAGGAAGGGAGGGGGACGAGAAGGAGGAAGTGAGGGAGGGTATACATGAATGCGCTCTCCTTCACCCCTCCTCCATCTCCTCTACCAAGACAAACCCGTTCCTGGGGCAGGGAAACAGAGCAGCAGGTTGGGGGGGGTGAACATGAAGGGACACAAGGGGAGTGCACCATATGGCACCTCACATGGCACTTACTCACGTGGCACTTCCTCACATGGCACTTCCTCACATGGCACTTACTCACATGGCACTTCCTCACATGGCACTTACTCACATGGCACTTCCTCACATGGCACTTCCCCAAAACAAAAATCACACAGCACACACACATGGTATGACACACCACCTGTGCACCGCACTGAACCACTCACTTCTTGAGCAACTCTTTAGGATCGGCCAGGTCTATCGGGCCGAAGCTGGAGATGCGCGCGTCCAGCAGGTCCGGGCGAGAGTCGGAGGTTCGGTGCAGGCGCAGGCGGAAACTGGAGGCCCAGTTGTAGGGCTTCAGCTGGAACTCAAACCCGCGGCCGCGCCACACCGCCTTGCCTTCCTTCTGAGACATGTGGTGGGGAGGCAGCACGCGACAGGTGCACAGAGGTCCAAGGAACAGATGAGAGGGGGTGGGAGGGAGGCAGAGAGGGGGGCACTCTATGGAAGCAGCACAATAGACGCAAGGGAGGGGAGGGGACGCACCTTGGCCCAGAACAGAACACGTGCTCGGTGTGCTGTGGCGGGGAATAGTCGAGGTCGAGGGGACCTGGAAAGAGGACGTCTGTGGAGCGAGGTCCACTGCGTGCTGACTTACTAGCTTTGGAGACATGATTATAAAGACTAGAGTGGTCAAGTAGCACAGGATATGCAAGGGACGCACCTTGGCCCAGGGCACGTGCTCGGTGTGCTGTGGAGGGGAGTAGTCGAGGTCGAGGGGATCGGGGAAGAGGATGTCGGTGGAGCCGGGGGTCCACTCTGCGCTGACTTACTAGCTTGGCAGACAGGCTTCAAAAGGCTTCTCAAGCAGCATGAGAGGCGCAAGGGACGCACCTTGGCCCAGGGCACATGTTCTGCATGCTGTGGCGGGGAGTAGTCGAGGTCGAGGGGGTCGGGAAAGAGGATGTCAGTGGAGCCGGGGGTCCACTCTGCGCTGACTTGCTAGCTTGGCAGACAGGCTTCAAAAGGCTTCTCAAGCAGCATGAGAGGCGCAAGGGACGCACCTTGGCCCAGGGCACGTGCTCGGTGTGCCGTGGAGGGGAGTAGTCGAGGTCGAGAGGGTCGGGGAAGAGGATGTCGGTGGAGCCGGGGGTCCACTGCGTGCTCAAGACAGGGAAGCCTGAGCAGCCGGAGGAGAGCGAGTTGTCGAAACTGACAGGCTTGTCACACGCGTTTATGAATAGCTCCGCCCGCAGTGCTGTTGGTGGTGGGGGGGGGGGGAGAGGGAATTGAAGAGGGGAAGGAAGCATTGAGAGGAAAGTGATGGTAGGTTGAGCACGCCTATGGGAGCAGTGTCGAGCAGAGCAGCCGGAGGATGAATAGCTCCGCTCGACACTGCTGTTGGGTTGGGAGAGGGGAACGGGAGGGGAGGGGAGAAACATGGGAGAGGATGGGGTGAGAAACAATAGGAGAAACAAATAGACTGGATGGGGTTTAAATTGCAGCGTTACAAAAGCTGTAGCCTACACATCTGAGGTCGTACCCTGTGACGCCAAGAAATTCGTCCAGATGCGATAAATGAAAGGCTAGACAATATGATACATCGGAGGTCGTAAGCAGTGATGGCATGGAGTATCATCTTGACTGCCAGGTTGACTCGAGTTGACTCAAAAGGTGTGTTTTGACCGGGATACATTGTAAAAAACGGACGTACATCGGAGGTCGTAGGCAGTGATGGCATGGAGTATCATCTTGACTGCCAGGTTGATGCGCTTGAGCTTGCGCGAATCTTCCAGGAAGGAGCCGTAACGGAAGTACACACGACCTAGCACTATGCGCACATGTGCCAGACACGGCTGCATCTGCAGATGGGGGGAAGATACCGGAGGAGAGAGGGGGAGAGAGAGGTAAGCCAACGGAACGGATCCGTAGCGGAAGTACACACACGACCCAGCACTATGTGCACACATGCCAGACATGGCTGCAATTGCACATGGGCCGAATTTTGAGTCGACTAAAAAAAAACACTATGTGCACATGTGCCAGACATGGCTGCATCTACAGATGGGGGCAGTGAAAGGGGGTGGTGGTGGGGAAGTGCATGGGAGTGTGGATGGACGTATGAGACTTGGTGGGGGTGGGGGGGAATGGAGGGAAGCAGTGCAGTGAGGGAGAAGCAGAGGAGTGCGATACAGATGGATGCGGTGGAGTGAGGAGGAATGCAGGGGAGTGGGAGGAGGTACCTTGGGATTGACGGCCATGGCAGGGAACATGATCTGCTTCACCATGCCCGCCTTTCCCAGCCCCTTGCTGATGCCCTGCTTGTTCACAGGCGCGCAGGCACACACGCACACGGGCAAACACGCACGCAGGCACACACGCACACACGCACGCAGGTACACACGCACACACGCACACAGGTACACATGCACACAGGCACACAGGAACAGAGGCACACAAGGGCACAATGTATGAGAGCACACACTTATGCGCCAGGAGATGATCTCTCCATCCCCTCTTATCCCCCTAATCCCCCACCACCACTCTCAACCGCCCACCCGTCCACCCCCCCACTCACACTAATCCAGATAGCTTCCCACGCCCCCTCCCTCCCCTCCCCCACTCACATCGATGCGCACCCACGAAGCCAGGAACCTCTCAGCGAGTCTTGCAAACGCCAGAGTCAGCCGATTCCCCGTGCTGAGCGTGCCCGCTGTTAACAACCCCTCCACCACGTGCCCCCACGGCGCCTTCCCGTCGTCCTCCCCCTCCTCCGCCGCCACCACCTTCCCCATCGCCTGGTACCGCGCGGGCGAGTAAAACTCCGCCTCCCCCACCCCCCGTCCCCCCCCGTCCGCGTCCGACGCAAACGCGTGCCGCCGATCCCACGAGGAGGACGAGGACGAGGACGAGGAGGAGCGGGAGACGAGGTCGAGGAGAGCGTGGGGGTCGTGCGAGGAGTGGTTCACCCACGGGCCTTCCAGCGCGCCTCGCGCGTTCAGCTGGATGGGGAACTCGCACCCGCCCCGCTCCACCAGCAGCGCCGCCAGCTGCGCCGACGGGAACCAGGTGCGCCTGCGGGAGGTGGATGTGGGATGGGGGGTGTGGGTTGAGGAAGGGGGAGGGGGGGGTGTTTGTATATGGTTGGGGAGAGGGGGGGTGGATGGACGTGGTGGGGAGTTAGACGGTAGGTGGGGATAGCGAAGGACGAATCTGGCCCTGGGGGTAGGTAGATGTGGAGGAGGTTGGACGTGTGGATGGATCATGAATCTACGGAGAAGCAGCTATGCTGAGTAAGCCATCGGTTATTGGAGCACGGAGACGACGGCGACGATGGCGACGACGGCGACGATGGCGACGACGGCGACGACGGCGACGACGGCGACGACGGCGACGACGGCGACGAGGCACGAGTGACAAGAGGTACCTGGTGGAGGCGACGACGGCGACGAGAGCGATGGACATGAGCGTTCGACCGCGGAGCGACGCAAACCAGTCGCCTCCCGCCTTCCCCGCCGGCAAATGCGGCGGACGGCGCGGGCCTCCGCGGGGCCCTCTGGTCATCATTGTGATTGGCTGTCGGATGGCAGTCGGACTACCGTCGGATCCAATCAGATGACAATCGGACGACCGTTAGATGGCAATCGACTGATCTTCAGAGGTTCGCGATCGGTTTAGGATGGGAGAAGCATGATAGGCTTGAATCGTTTCGCTTAACGGTAGAGTGAGAGGATCGCTTCAGCTTCTAGCCTTGGGATCTACCTCGACTAATGAACAGTGCGCGACTGACACGTGGAAGGTGCTTCTGATTGATGCTTGTTTCTACACGGTGCTTAGTCCCTGTATTCTCAGTCCCAATTGCCGCGTCCCAGACCTACATGCGACGCCTTTGTCCTAGGTGCGACGCTTCAGGCCTAAATGCGACGCCTGAGTCGTAGGTGCGATGCACTGAGAGCACCCGCAGCTCGCACGGTCATCTTAGTGACAGCTATCACAAGGAGGAGCCATCGTTGGTGATTTTAGAGTTCTCCCTGCACCTCCACTCCACGGTTTAAGTTCTGACTGTCTGATGACTGATCAAGTCTTTCACTATCTCCTCCTGATCCTCCGGTTTGAAATTCCCAGCGCTGCTCTTTCCTTGTCCTGAGGTTGGTGATGGTGCTGCTGTGAAGAGTTGGCTTGCATTTCAGGCCAGTCAGGGATCTAGATTCTAGAAATTGCCTACCCTCACGTCCGTTTCGTTACTACCTCATTCGTAACGGTCTGTCTCGGTTTCCCGCGTTTCAATGCGAAACCCCGCGGCAATATGAACTCCAAAGTGTTGCAGGCCCCAGGGAAGGTTTCACCCAACCCATGTGGCGTAAAAAGACTAGGATCGAAATGAAACTCCCGCTAACAAACCATCGCAAATTGGGCAGTAAAGAAACGAAATACACTAGATGAAAATGCCATAATCCACAACCGCTCCTACAAATTAGCAAACCAGGTCATAGGTACGGTATGATAGATACTAGGAGAGTCCTGATGCCAATGCTGCCATTAACAGGCCAAAAACCCATAACACTGCAGGTTGATGTCCTCTCCGGCCCAATAACTTACTTGGAACCACCTTTCTTGCTTTCACCCCAACATTTATTTCCTTGGGCAAAGTTACCTCTCGAAAAACTTTCAACCTTGTGTGGCAGCAATGGCCTCCCTGACTACCATGTCCAGCACTCTCTTATTGTGCTCCTTGAACCACTCACCAACGTTTGCCTTTATCTTGACACGGGTGCGCTCATTTGCCTGCTTTTGCCATGTGATGCCCACCGTTGTCTTGAGCTCCGACACTTGTTCGTTAAGTCTATGTGCCTTATCCTCCGGACTCACATCCTCCTTCTCATTCAGGAGTTGCTGTGACTTGAGCTCCCTCTTGGTCTCCACCTGCAATACACAGCATACAAACTCAACGTAAATGTCATAAAACCACATGCAGACAGTTTGGAGACGTCTTAAAACCACATGCAGACAGCCGCTATTAATAATACTCACGCACCACGGCTCCACTTCCTGCAAAAGTTTCCAAGTCATTGAGGCAGCACTGTATCAGGCACGGACCTGAAAGTAGTCATTAAGGGGCACTTGATGCAGAGTAATGGACTCCTCCAGAGTCGTCCAAGTGCAGGTGTTAGGGGTGACAACAAACACCATCTTTGAAGCATCTCACCGAGATTATATCCTCAATGGGCTCTCAAAGTTCATCCCCTCGCAGGCACGCGCCTGGAAGTAGTCCCCATAGGGCAGCACTTGGTGCAGAGTGATCGACTCCTCTAGCGTTGCCCACGTGCACATGCCATGCCGTGCATAAATTCATAAAAACCATCACTGGAAAACCTTATCACGAGCACGCACCTGGAAGTAATCTCCAAAAGGCACTTGGTGCAGAGTGATCGACTCCTCTAGCGTTGCCCACGTGCACATGCCAGGTGTCGCATCCTTAGTGGCCTGCTGCACGCCTGACACGGTGGTCCCAAACGGCGACATCTGGCGGGAGAACTTGAACTTGATGTTGCGCTGCCGCCGGGCGGCACCGGGCGGCGCGCCGTCCACTGCCACCCAATCAGAGACTTCCAGGTGGGCCTGGCCCGTGGCGTCTGCCACCTTGCGCTGCAGCTGCTGCTGCTCCGTCAATGCTAGGAACTGATCCACCTGTGAGTGGGGACGCGAGTGTGGGTGTGAGTGTGGGTGTGAGTGTGTGGGCACAAGCGGGCGTGAGTGCTGGGTTCGATTCGCTCATGCGTTCGTGTCTGGCCAGTGGTGTCTGCCACCTTGCGCTGCAGCTGCTGCTGCTCTGTCATCGCCACCTGTGAGCGTGGCGGGAGGGCGGGGGCAGGGAAGGGGGGGTGTGTGAGTGTGTGCATATGCAGCTACTGCTGCTTTGTCATCGCCAGGAACTGCTCCACCTGTGAGTGGGGGTGAGGGTGGGGGTGCAAGTGGGTGTTTGTGGGTGTGACGGTGTGAGTGAGTGAGTGTGCGAGTGCAGATGCAGGTGACCATTCCATGCAAGCCCTAGCACATTGCACCCATCTTGCTCACCTTACTCACACATACACTCTCCCACCCACCGTCTGCATACCAAACACACACTCTCCCACCCACCGTCATGGGTACGGCAGTGCTGATGCTGTCGATCATCTCATACACGTCCGTGCACACCCCCCCCTGCTCCTCCACCCCCTCGACGTCACTCCCCACCGCCCCACCACCACTGCCAGCAACACCACCCGCTCCTGCTGCCCCTCCTTTCCCCCCTGCTGCTCCTCCGCCCACACCCCCACCCCCTCCAATCCCAACCCCAAAGCCTTGGGAGGGGCTTCGCACCATCCCTTCGCCTCCCCCTGCGCCTGCCCCTGTCCCTGCCGGTGCCCCTGCCCCTGCCCCTGCCCCTGCTGCTGCGTCTGCTCCGCTTGCCTCGGCAGCAGCGGCAGCGGTGGCTGCCTCCTTGGCTCGCTCCAGCTGCTGCTCGGGGGGCAGCGCTCTGTGGCGCCACAGCGCTGTTATCAGCCTGGGAGGAGGAGGGGAGGGGAAGGGGAGGGAGAAAGAGAGAGGTGGGGAGGAGAGAGAAAAAGGGGGCATCACACCTGGCTCAGGGAGAACAGCCCTGTGGCCACACAGCGCTGCTAACTGCCTGCAGATGGGGAAAAGAGGGAACGGGGAAAGGGTGGGTAGAAAAATGATCGTTGCACTCACTTACCCGGATCCCAGGGCCAGGGCAACGCTATCGCAATGTTGGGGTTTGTCACCAGAAGACAGTGCAGACAGGAATAGTGACCGGAAGGCAATGGTGTGGCCAATGGTGACCTGACAGGAATAGTGGCCGGAAGGCAATGGTGTGGCCAATGGTGATCTGACAGGAATAGTGGCCGGAAGGCAATGGTGTGGCCAATGGTGATCTGACAGGAATAGTGGCCGGAAGGCAATGGTGTGGCCAATGGTGATCTGACAGGAATAGTGGCCGGAAGGCAATGGTGTGCGTGCGAAGGATTGAAATCGGAACTTGAGTCGACCAGAAGGGTCAATTCCATAGGCAGCGCTGCCCGCGTGTCGGGGCCCCCTTGGCCCGGCTTGACATAGATGGTGATGGAGGGGATGATGGAGTGGATGGAGGGCGCGATGGGCACTGACTGCGTGCGTACTCTTACCAGGAGATAATGTGGGCTGAAATACTGACCGGAAGGCAATGGTGGGGCGAGCAAAGGATTGGAAGCGAATCTTGAGCCGGCCCGAGGGGTCGATCCCATATGCAGCGCTGCGCGTGTCGGGCCCCCCGCGGCCAGGCTTGACGTAGATGGTGATGGAGGGGTTGAGCAGGCGGTTGATGGAGTGGATGGACGGCGCGTTCTCCTTGAGCTCGTCTATGTCCTCCCATCGCACTGCCAGCTTTATGCGCACTCGGAACAGCGATGCATGGAAGGCCAGTAAACGGGGTGACAGGAAGAGGCGACCCTGAAAGGGGGGAAGGGAGTGGAGGGGAAGGAGGTTGGGGAGAGGAGAGAAGGGGAATGTGGGAGAGAGAGAGAGGATAACGGTTAGGCAGTATGAGCGTGGCAGTCCACAGGTTGAAGGAGTGGATGGAGGGCGTGTTCTCCTTAAGCTCGTCTATGTCTTCCCACCGCACTGCAGGCTTTCTTCGCACTCGAAAGAGCGACGCGTGGAAGGCTAGTAAACGAGGGGACAGGAACAGCCGGCCCTGAGGGGAGGGGAGGGTGGTGTTGTGGGAAGGGGAGGGTAAGGGTATAAGCAGCGTGAGCTCGTGTATGTCCTCCCAGTACACCGCCAGCTTTATGTGCACTCGGAAGAGAGATGCATGGAAGGCTTGTAGGCGTGGGGACAGGAACAGCCGGCCCTGCAGGGAGGGGAGGGAGGGGAGGGGATTGGTGGGGAGGGGAGGGGTGGGGAGGGGTGGGGAAGGGACGAAGGTTGCGGAACTGAGGGAGCATTGGCCCATTGCTGTTCTAAGTGGGAGTATGCAGAGCGAGGATAAGGGGGACAGAAGCGGGAAATCGAGGATACAGAGGAGAGAGGATGAGATGAGGTGATTGAGACGAGCAAGAGGGATGAACAAGATGGGTAATGGACACGTGAGATCTCAGGCCCTACCTGGGAGAGGAGGCTCTTCTTGAGCGCGCAGGAGAAGTCGTTGATCAGCGGCTCGTTTTCGGGAAGCTCGAATAAGTTATGGAAGGCCATGTTCTTCTCGTCAGAGATACGCAGCAGCTGGTTTGGACGGGGCAGAAGAGAGCGATTGGGCAGAAGAGGATGGAGGAAAGGGGGATATACAGAGAACACAAGGAGAGAATAGAGAGTAGTATATCAATGGTTGGCGGAAAGAACGCCGAGCTGATTGGACAGGAGAGGTCTGGAGGGATTGATCAGCAATGGTAAATGGAGAGAAGAGAGGGGGGTGGACCTGTAGCTTGAAAGTACTACAGAAAAAAAGACTAAAGACTAAACCTCTCAACAACAGCCTCTATCAGACTCAGACCATTGAAGTCATAAAGTAAGAAAAAGACGACGAATTTGGCCACTCCCCCCCCATTCTCTCAACCCACCCTTCACATACACCCACCTCCTTGCCGACTTGCTTGCTGATGCGCTCGAGGATCATCGGGGGAGACGCCTCACTGGTACTCGTTAGAAGCACCCTCAGCTGCAGCCTCGCCTCCACCCCCTGCCCCTGCCCCGGCCCCTGCGCCTTCCCCCCTCTGCGCGCATCTGCTCGCGGCCCTCCCTGCAGCGGCACCCAGAGGTCTGCGAGCTCCTGGGCGCTGGATCTGACAAGGTCCACTTCTGCCTGCCCCAGGGCTGTGGGCGCTGAGAAGGGCCCATCGTAGTCAAAGATCTCCACGTCTAGCGTTGAGGGTGGGTCCTCGAATGCGTCGAAAGACAGCACCTCTGAGGGGAGAGGGGGTTGGATGGAGACGGAAAGGGGGATGGGGAGAGGAGGGGGAAAGGGGGATGGGAAGAGGAGGGGGAAAGGGGGATGGGAAGAGGAGGGGGAAAGGGGGATGGGAAGAGGAGGGGGAAAGGGGGATGGGAAGAGGAGGGGGAAAGGGGGATGGGAAGAGGAGGGGGAAAGGGGGATGGGAAGAGGAGGGGGAAAGGGGGATGGGAAGAGGAGGGGGAAAGGGGGAGGAGAGGGTGAACAGGGAGAGGAGGGGAGGGAGTTGGGGTGTGAAACAAGGAGCTGTGGCCTCCCTGCAGCGGCACCCACAGGTCTGCTCGCGGCCCGCCATGCAGCGGCACCCAGAGGTCTGCGAGCTCCTGCGCGCTGGATCTGACGAGGTCCACCTCTGCCTGGCCCAGCGCTGTTGGCGCTGAGAAGGGCCCGTCGTAGTCAAAGATCTCCACGTCTAGCGTTGAGGGTGGGTCTTCAAAGGCATCAAAGGAAAGCACCTCTGGGGGAAGGGGAGCGAAGGGGGGATGGGGAGGAGAGGGGAATGGGGAGAGGAGGGGAGGGAGTTGGGGTGGGGGATAGGGCTTCGGCCCTCCCTGCAGCGGGGATGGTTTGCAGCTTGACAGAGGTGGTGCGCGTCTTGCCATTGCCCGTGAACACCACATACGGGTCGCGTTCTTGCTGGGGTGTTTTTGAGAATAGTAAAAGGCACGCCATCCACACGCACCTGCACGTACCCACACCACACACACCCACACACATTCACACGCACCATTCCACACCGGTCGGTTGATCTGCAGCTTCACAGAGCTGGTGCGTGTCTTGCCATTGCATGTGAACACCACATAGGGGTCGCTCTTGCCGCCCACACACACCCACACACACTCACACAAGTTTGTTCGCATATTACTCACCATTCCACACCGGCCGGTTGGTCTGCAGTTTCACAGAGCTGGTGCGTGTCTTGCCATTGCATGTGAACACCACATAGGGGTCACTCTTGCCGCCCAGCCCCCCTGCCTCCCCCACACCCTCGCCTTGAACCAGCGTCACTGTCAGCAGCCACCCCTCTCCCTCCGCCTTCTTCCCATGGTCGCCCCCTGGAAGATAAGACGGGTGTGGGTGGGGAGGAGAGATAGGATAGGAATGGTGAGGGTCACTATTGCAAACAGCAGCACCCCTGTCTTCCCAACGTACCGATGGTCACTGTTAGCTGCATACCCAGCAGGCTGCCCTTTCCCTCCCTCCCCCTTCCCCCTCTCCCCGTTCCCCCCCCCCCCATTCCCTCGCCACTCACTTCTTAGAAGCCGTGAAGTGATGATAGAACAATGACAGTGGGAAGAGGGCCCTCTCAGCAGAGAGAGGAGGGCCCCCGTGGGAGGAGGGCCCTCTCAACAACTCCCCGTTCCTCAGTGGGAAGGGGGCCCTCTCAGCAGAGAGAACAATGACAGCCGTGCACAGCAGCTCCATCACCCCATCTTGTAGGTCCAGCAGCAGCTGCACGCCTGGCAGGCTGCTCGTCCCTGCTCTCCCCTCTTCCACTTCTCTCCATTCCCCAAGTCCCTTCCCCATTACTCACTTCTAAGAAGTCGTGAGGTGATGATATTCCTCAACCGAAACAGGGCGCGTTCAGCACTGAGCACAATGGCAGCCGTGCACAGCAGCTCCATCACCCCGTCTGGTAGGTCCAGCAACAAAAACTGCACGCCTGGCAGGCCCTTGGCGCGCTGTATGAAGTGCGTGGGGAGCACTATAAGGGAGACGAAGAAGAGCAGCATGGAGAAGTGCCCCAGGATGTTGAACAGCCGAGCCATCAGGGGTTGCTTCGGCGGAGGCTCGGGGAGGAGGGCAGATGCGGAGGAGGAGGAGCCGAGAGGGGTTGTGGCAGGTGCAGCGTATTTGGACAGGATCTGGGAAAACAGTGGAAAAGAGGAAGGAGGGAGGGAAGGGGGCATGATTGATGTGAGTTAAATCAAGGAGTAAGAATGACGTGCAGCTATGGTACAGAACCGCATGGCGAGTCAGCAGCAGTGGGTCAGCAGTTGTCAGCACGTGTGTTACTACTGCCTAGTTACCAGTGCACATGTCTCTTCTTACCGCCTGGTAAGCGATGTAGGTATCTTTGAGCCCTGAGCGCATGCCGTTCTCGATCATGCTCTTCATCATGGTGCTCTGCAAGAAGCACGGCGCCCATGACACCCTCAGCTGGCAGCTGCTGCCGTCTGCGGCCATGCCATGCAGGGGGGGACAAGCGGAGCGGGGAGGGAGCACACAAAGAGGGGGAAGGGGTGAGTGGGGAGAGAGCATGATTTGAGAAAGAGCATGCATCGCTCGCACGATAACCACAACTGGGAGCTGCTGCCACAGGGCAAGGGGAGTGTGGCGAGAGAGAGGTGGCGCCTGGAGCAGGCGTGATGCTACTTTAACCATCTCACCTGGTGCAGGTGTCATCGGAACCATCTCACCGGTGTGATGCAGAACTGCATCTCAGTGCGGAACGTGTTGCCGTCCGTACGGAACGTCAGGCGGGGTTGGAGTGGGGGGAGAGCGAGAGAGAGGTGGCACCTGGTGACGGTGTGATGCAGAACTGCATTTCAGTGCGGAACGTGTTGCCATACGGCACGTCAGGCGTCGCCACATACACCTCCACCAGGTACCCCCCCGCGTCCGCCCTGCTGTAGCGCATCAGCTCTGTAGCGAGTACAGACTTGACCAGGGAGGAGGGCGCCGTCATGTAGCGGACCACCCGCGAGCTGAGTGGAGGAGAGGCGGGCGCGTTGGCGGTTGTGATGGTGGGCGGGAGGGAGTCGGCTAGAGAGGGGATTGCAGCAGCGTCCCCTTCGACCCAGGGCCCTGGTTCGAGCTGAGACACCTTGCGCTCTGCAGAAATGGGGGAGGCGGTGGGAAGGAAAGAGGGGCACTGTGGTTTGCGCTCAAAAGAGTCTTTTGAAAAGACTCCTTGCACACTTCGTCATCATATCACACCCCATCCATTCGATACCACGTCATACCACTGCTCCACCACCACACCTCCGCCCGCGTGACATTGAAGTCGACTCACAAATCACACCACACCACACCATACCACAACACACCACACCACACCATACCACAACACACCACACTGCACCACAACTCACCGGCAGTGAACTCAGCATAGAAATCAGAGTCAGGCTTGAAGAGAATCCCATTCAGCTCATGAGCCGGCACGCCATACCACTGCTCCACCACCACTCCTCCCCCCAGCGCAGCGGGCATATCCCCCTTAGAAGCCATCCCCTTAACATCCCCATCAAACCATGACAGCGGCACTAGGCTCTCCCCTCCGCCTAACCCCCCCACCGCCCCCACCCCGTCCCCCTTTTCCCCTGCATCATCCCCTGAACTCGCTCCCGACCCCCCACTGCCCGCCCCTCCCCCGGTTACACTCCCGGATTTCGGCAGGGGGGATGCAGCAGCGCCCTCCGTGCTCTTACTGGCCCTCACGGGGACGCTTTCAGTGGAGGAGGGGCGGCGGCGGGGCAGGAAGGACGACACAGAGCGCTGCTTGGGCAGCGCGTGCGGCAAACCCTGCTGCTGCTGCTGCTGCTCTGAGGCTCTGCGGGAGGCCTTAGAGGAGGAGGTGAAGCCAGACATGCGCTTCCTCAGCCCCACGGACTTAGCCCCTGGGAAGACCTCGGTGTTTGCCTCGGTGCTTGCTGGGTCTTTGGAGGGGTGGTGGTGTGGAGGGGGGTGTTGATGGTGGCGGCGTGAGGGAGGAGGGCTGAGGGAGAGGAGGATTCATCAGAAGATTCGGATATGGTGCTGACGTGGCCGCGCATGGAGGATTTGGATTTGGATTTGGAGGGTCCTGAGAGGGTGAAGGAGTGGAAGAAGTGGGGCTTGGAGGGGCGGGCAGGGGCGGAGGCGGAGTGTTGCATGGCGTGGGATTCAGCAACGGATTTCGGGTGCAAGTCGACAGAATGAGGTACGACTGTTGTGTCAGTGGGTGATGCAAGGTCAGTGAGGGTTGCTGCATCGTTTTCTCGTGAGGCAGGAGTAGGAGGGGCGGAGGAGGAGGTCCCACCATTCAGTAAAGAAGGAGGAGGAGCAGTGGTGTCAGCCTCAGCAGAGGAAGAACTCGTTGCAGGAGGCAGCAGGAGAGCCGGCGCACCAGCAGCAGCAGGCAGAGAGTCAGAAGCAGCAGACGGCACCCCCGTAAGCAGCAAAGGCCCAGAGTGGAAGGTCAAGGAGCCTGACGCAGCGGAGGAGCAGGTGGAGGAGAGGGGCCCTGACAGCCAGAGTGACAGCGAGCCCAGTCCGCCAGGCGCGGACGCGGTCGAGTCAGCGGAGGAGGTTGGGGAGTGTGGCTCGGATGAGATTGTAGCGAGGCCCATCTGGTCCGGATGCAGGAGTTGGAAAGTGTCTGGGGGGTTGTAATGCGGTTCAGTCAGGTTGGGGTGGTAATTGCCGGGAGTGGAAGCGAGGGAGGATGGTGTGGAGGAGGAGGAGGAGGAGGTGAGGAGGGGGAGGGAGGGGGTGTGCGAGGTGGAGGGAGGGGTGATGGAGAATGGGGTGGAGGAGAAGGGGGAGAGGGCGGTTGAGCTGACAGGGCTCGCGGTTTGGGATTGAGCCGCGTGGGACACGAGGCCCCATAGTGAGACCTCTATCAGGATTTCGCCTGCGGAATGACGTTGCAATGGCAGTGGGGGGGGGGGGGGGGGGGGGAAAGAAATGTGGCGATGGCGTTGGCGAGGAGAGAATGCGTGCGCGGCACTCTCCATGGAGTCCATGGTAGGACCGAACGCGTGATGAATGCGGTGATGAGGGCGTGGAGTGCGGTGATGAGGGCGTGGAGTGCGGTGATGAACGCATGCAATGAGGTGACGAAGGTGTGAAATGCAGTGATGGAGGGGTGAAATGACATGCTAAAGGCGTCACATGTCGTGAAAAAGGCGTCAAATTTCGTAATGATAGCGTGAAATGTCGCGACAAGAGCGTCGCATGTGGTGATAAAAGCATGGAATGTTGTCGTGACAAAAAGCGTGAAATGCGTCTGCTCCAAGCTGACGGACGCTACGCCATGACCGAGGAAAGTCGAATTCTACCTCTCACTTAATCCCCCAAAACAGGATGCTATTTCATAACCTAAATTCCCAAAGCACCCTTCGGAATAACCCACACATCCAATCTCGCGAACACGGCATTGCGGAATGAATCCATATTTCTTAGTACCGGGACAAATCTCACCACGAATAGCAGCTGTTCGCGGTTTCTGACCTGAGACGAAGGAGCGAGACCGCTCGCTCTTATGAATCGACTCAAAAGTCACTTATTATCGGGACATCTCTCAACATGAAGAACAGCTGCTCCCGGTTTCTGACCTGAGACGAAGGAGCGAGATCGCTCGCTCTTCTTCTTGAGCGGATACCACGTCGGCGGGAGGCTCTTCCCTTCCGCAGCCGCCACCGCAGCTACCGGCACCGACATTTGACCCAGAAAATCCGCTTTTCCTAAGTAATCCTCGTCCCATACAGTCACGAGAAGAACATCCGTTTCAAGGTTATCCGTTCTAAATAGAAACTCCTCATTCCACGTCGGGTTAAGGTTCTTATACACCGTGCTGCTGCGCGCTTTGCTCCGCCCGACCTGCATACGCACGTACGGATCGCTCAGACCGTTGCTGTCCTTAGCTGCCAGGTTTCGAGCCTGAAGCAGCTGGACCTGAAGCTTCGCCCCCATCGTGGAAAGCGAAATTCGGTAAATCACTGAACTCGCAAGCTAATCAAAACTGCGTTGGAGAGTCAGGGAGGGGGGGGAACTAGCTTTCCAGTCTCACATGACGCCTCACTGGGCGAGCTGAAAATACGGTTGTAGACGTTCCGTACGTCCCCTAGGAATGGCATTCCAACGAGAAGAACATATGTGACCTTAGAAAGTACTGCACAACGCAAGGACCTTCGGAATGTTTCTAGGTTTCTAGGGTTGTCGTCGCAATCGAGCACACCACCCAGAGCAGCGAGATTGGGTGCTGTACGGTAGCGAAGTGTACAACCAAAAGTGCCGAGGCAAGGGAGTGAGTTAGGGAAGAATGCTTTGACAAACCCAAGGCAGAATGCTACCGGGAATCGACGGTGACGATTGGACGGACGAGATTTTGTGTGATGCTGAGTGAGTTTCGTTTTGTGTGATTTTTCCGAAGCAGAAAGCGGCGTGGCGTCAGGAACCAGGTCTGAAGCAGCCGCCATCTGCTCTGATTGGATGACGGGTGCTTACGCGACGCAGGTTGCGCTTCTGAATCTCATATGCCCCTCAGCTCAGGTTGCGCAGGTTACAGCTCAAGAACTAGCTTCGCGTAAAATACACTAAAATGCATGTGTTGCTGTTTTACAAGCCCTGTGGCTAGGATGCTGGTTTTGTGAGTCCAATGGTTATGCTAGATTCTACAAGGCCTGTGGTCCTACAAGCCCTGGAGTTGAGGTGCTTGAACTACAAGCCTGCAGTTAGTGTGCTCAATTGTACAAGCCCTGCAATCTGTGTGCTCGACTATACGCACTCTGTAGTTAGTATGCTCGAATCTGCAAGTCCTGTTGTTAGTGTGCTCAAAGTACAGGCCCAACAGCTATTGTGCTCAATTCGATGGGCGCAATTGGATGAGCCGTGTAGTTAGTGTGCCCGATTTTACAAGCCCTGTGATTAATGTGCTCAGCTTTACAAGCCCTGCTGTTGTTGTGGTGCTGTAGTTAGTGTGCTCGATCCTGCAGTAATGCTCTGGATCTAAGATCCCTAAAGTTGGTGTGCTCGATTGTACAAGCCCTGAGATCAGTGTGTTCACATCTACAAGCCCTGCTGTTATTGTGCTCCTGTAGTTAGTGTGCCTGATTCTGCAAGTCCTGTTTGTAGTACGTCATGTCATGATGCACGAGTCCTGTAACTTGTGGTATGCATGCCCCAAGGCACAACACTGTGGTTAGTGTTCACGAGCCCTGTAGTCTGGCCCTGTGGTTAGTGTGCACGAACCCTGTAGTTAGTCTGGTAGGGGACCAGGGGAGGGGGGTGTGAGGGGAGTCCAACACAGGGGGTTTAAGGGGATGGGATGAGGGGAGGGAGGGGATACCATACCTGAGATTTACTAGTCTAGATATCCTACCAGTAAAACCCATTTAAACTGGTCCAGCTCTAACGTATGTGGTCTTCATCCTCCTGCCTTGCCTGCCACATGGAACTGTTTGGTTGTCCTGCAAGCAGACAAGAGGGGGCAAGGCACTCGAGATTTGAGATTCACGACATGATAAGATCAGATATGATTTGAAAAGAGGAACCTTGGACACCGGCGAAAAAGGAACTTCAAGGCTGACAGGGGAAGAAAAGGGTTGAGTTAGCAGCCCTACAATGAGAAGAGGATCATCTTGGCCTTGTCTCACTTGGCCGTGACTGAAGTCCGTCCCGTGCCACCAATGCCGTCCTTGCCTGAGAGACTGAACGTAGGGAGGGAGGAGGATATGAGTGCAATCATGAGAAAGGGGCATGACAAGGAATGCGAAGGCAGATAGATGGAAGTCAGAGGAGAGAAGGCGGTACAAGCAGAAGCAAGGAGGAGAAGAATGGCAATGAAAGGCCGTCATCAACACCTTGGGGCAGAGGAGAAGAGGGTTGAGTGCGCAGCCTTACAATGAAAAGATCCCTGACTGGAGCTCCCGGACAGGAGCTCCCCGACTGGAGCTCCCTGACTAGAGCTCCCTGACTGGAGCTCCCTGACTGGACTGGAGCTCCCTGACTGGACTGGAGCTCCCTGACTGGAGCTCCCTGACTGGAGCTCCCTGACTGAAGCTCCCTGACTGGAGCTCCCTGACTGGAGCTCCCTGACTGGACTGGAGCTCCCTGACTGGAGCTCACTGACTGGACTGAAGCTCCCCGACTGGTGCTCCATGACTGGAGCTCCCGGACACTGGAGCTCACTGACTGGAGCTCCCTGACTGGAGCTCACTGACTGGAGCTCCCTGACTGGAGCTCACTGACTGGAGCTCCCTGACTGGAGCTCACTGACTGGAGCTCCCTGACTGGAGCTCACTGACTGGAGCTCACTGACTGGAGCTCACTGAATGGACTGAAGCTCCCCGACTGGTGCTCCCTGACTGGAGCTCACTGACTGGAGCTCCCTGACTGGAGCTCCCTGACTGGAGCTCACTGACTGGAGCTCCCTGATTGGAGCTCACTGACTGGAGCTCACTGACTGGAGCTCCGTGACTGGAGCTCACTGACTGGAGCTCCCTGACTGGAGCTCACTGACTGGAGCTCACTGACTGGAGCTCCCTGACTGGAGCTCACTGACTGGAGCTCCCTGACTGGAGCTCACAGACTGGAGCTCACTGACTGGAGCTTCCTGACTGGAGCTCCCTGACTGGAGCTCACTGACTGGAGCTCCCTGACTGGAGCTCACTGACTGGAGCTCCCTGACTGGAGCTCCCTGACTGGAGCTCACTGACTGAGGAGCTCACTGACTGGAGCTGACTGGAGCTCCCTGACTGGAGCTCACTGACTGGAGCTCCCTGACTGGAGCTCACTGACTGGAGCTCCCTGACTGGAGCTCCCTGACTGGAGCTCCCTGACTGGACTGGAGCTCCCTGACTGGACTGGAGCTCCCTGACTGGAGCTCCCTGACTGGAGCTCCCTGACTGAAGCTCCCTGACTGGAGCTCCCTGACTGGAGCTCCCTGCTGGACTGGAGCTCCCTGACTGGAGCTCACTGACTGGACTGAAGCTCCCCGACTGGTGCTCCATGACTGGAGCTCCCGGACACTGGAGCTCACTGACTGGAGCTCCCTGACTGGAGCTCACTGAATGGAGCTCCCTGACTGGAGCTCACTGACTGGAGCTCCCTGACTGGAGCTCACTGACTGGAGCTCCCTGACTGGAGCTCACTGACTGGAGCTCACTGACTGGAGCTCACTGAATGGACTGAAGCTCCCCGACTGGTGCTCCCTGACTGGAGCTCACTGACTGGAGCTCCCTGACTGGAGCTCCCTGACTGGAGCTCACTGACTGGAGCTCCCTGATTGGAGCTCACTGACTGGAGCTCACTGACTGGAGCTCCGTGACTGGAGCTCACTGACTGGAGCTCCCTGACTGGAGCTCACTGACTGGAGCTCACAGACTGGAGCTCCCTGACTGGAGCTCACTGACTGGAGCTCCCTGACTGGAGCTCACAGACTGGAGCTCACTGACTGGAGCTTCCTGACTGGAGCTCCCTGACTGGAGCTCACTGACTGGAGCTCCCTGACTGGAGCTCACTGACTGGAGCTCCCTGACTGGAGCTCCCTGACTGGAGCTCACTGACTGAGGAGCTCACTGACTGGAGCTGACTGGAGCTCCCTGACTGGAGCTCACTGACTGGAGCTCCCTGACTGGAGCTCACTGACTGGAGCTCCCTGACTGGAGCTCCCTGACTGGAGCTCACTGACTGAGGAGCTCACTGACTGGAGCTCACTGACTGGAGCTCCCTGACTGGAGCTCCCTGACTGGAGCTCACTGACTGGAGCTCACTGACTGGAGCTCCCTGACTGGAGCTCACTGACTGGAGCTCACTGACTGGAGCTCACTGAATGGAGCTCCCTGACTGGAGCTCCCTGACTGGAGCTCACTGACTGGAGCTCACTGACTGGAGCTCACTGACTGGAGCTCCCTGACTGGAGCTCACTGACTGGAGCTCACTAACTGGAGCTCCCTGACTGGAGCTCACTGACTGGAGCTCACTGACTGGACTGAAGCTCCCCGACTGGTGCTCCCTGACTGGAGCTCCCTGACACTGGAGCTCACTGACTGGAGCTCCCTGACTGGAGCTCTCTGACTGGAGCTCACTGACTGGAGCTCACTGACTGGAGCTCCCTGACTGGAGCTCACTGACTGGAGCTCCCTGACTGGAGCTCACTGACTGGAGCTCACTGACTGAGGAGCTCACTGACTGGAGCTCACTGACTGGAGCTCCCTGACTGGAGCTCCCTGACTGGAGCTCACTGACTGGAGCTCAGTGACTGGAGCTCACTGACTGGAGCTCACTGACTGGAGCTCCCTGACTGGAGCTCCCTGACTGGAGCTCACTGACTGGAGCTCACTGACTGGAGCTCCCTGACTGGAGCTCACAGACTGGAGCTCACTGACTGGAGCTTCCTGACTGGAGCTCCCTGACTGGAGCTCACTGACTGGAGCTCCCTGACTGGAGCTCACTGACTGGAGCTCCCTGACTGGAGCTCCCTGACTGGAGCTCACTGACTGAGGAGCTCACTGACTGGAGCTGACTGGAGCTCCCTGACTGGAGCTCACTGACTGGAGCTCCCTGACTGGAGCTCACTGACTGGAGCTCCCTGACTGGAGCTCCCTGACTGGAGCTCACTGACTGAGGAGCTCACTGACTGGAGCTCACTGACTGGAGCTCACTGACTGGAGCTCACTGACTGGAGCTCACTGACTGGAGCTCACTGACTGGAGCTCCCTGACTGGAGCTCACTGACTGGAGCTCACTGACTGGAGCTCCCTGACTGGAGCTCACTGACTGGAGCTCCCTGACTGGAGCTCACTGACTGGAGCTCACAGACTGGCGCTCCCTGACTGGAGCTCACTGACTGGAGCTCACTGACTGGACTGAAGCTCCCCGACTGGTGCTCCCTGACTGGATCTCCCAGACACTGGAGCTCACTGACTGGAGCTCCCTGACTGGAGCTCCCTGACTGGAGCTCCCTAACTGGA